GCTAAAATTTACAAAAAAAAAAAAAAGTTCGATAATATTTTTGAATTTATTGCTTTTGTTTTTTTTAGAAATGAATTAAATGATCCTCAACTTTGCAATTTTCTAAATTATTTTAGTTAAATATCATGTAATTAATTCTTAAGCATTTTGAATAATATTTTATTTTATTATTTTTTTTGTACATTAATTTTCTTTTATTAAAAAATGAAATATTAAGATTTGGTCCTAATTAACTTTCTTGTCCAGGTCAAGAAACTAACACTTGATCACTTCTGCAAAAGTGCAATTATTTACAATTATGGTTAAGAAGAAATACATGTCAACCATAAAAACATTAATAGGGTTCCTATTGGTTGGGTTGTAATTATGTGATAATGAAAGACAATATTGGCAAAGAGCTTGTGTGGGTAATTAATGGGTTAAAACATTAAGCTTTTTCATTTTTTAAAAAAAAAATTCAATTTCATTGTCCCTTTCCTAAATTGTTTTTATTTTATAAAATCTATAATTCTCTTTTAGTTAGTAGAGGTGCAATCTATCATGATACATACTTTGGTAAATTGATCAAATGTCATTTTTTAGTATTTATAGTCAAATTTCTTTCACTTAATATGGAGAGTGAGAGGTCTCGATTTCTAATCTATTGACTATAAAAATATTCACCAATCGGTAAATTAAGGAAAATATTGCTTTTGTTATATAGCTCGTAACGTTATTTTAGTCTATCAAGATTTTTAATGAATTAAAAATAATAATAGATAAAAGACAAAAACTAGTGCAAACAAATCTCAATATGCACCATCCAATGACCAATTATAGCCTACGACATAATGATGCACTATGCACTGTACAAAATTTCATTTTTTTTTTTTTATCTTTGTTATTTTGTTGTTTTCCTTTCAGAGACATCATAGGAGATATAATCTATAATTTAGACTTAAAAAAAAATTAATAATTTTTAGTTGGCTAGCTTTCTTTAAAATTTTCAAACAACAATTTCAAATTAATCTAATTGATTTATTAAATGACCTTTTTTTTCTTATGCTAATTAGAATTTATAATGTCACACTAAATGTTAAGTGACAATACCCAATTGCCTTACTCAATTCGCATTAGAGGAAGGGGATTAAAATACATGTTAACGCACTGCAATGAGTGTAAAAATAGGTTAAACCCACTATAATTTCAATTATAAAAAAAGAAATATATGATTAATTACTTTTAGATCCAGATTTAACCGTACTAAATAATATATTATTTTCATTAGAAAACTTTAAATTGTATCTTAAATTTCTATGTATATTTTTTTGATTCATAAATAAGCATAAAAAACATTACGAGTTACACAACATGGCAACCTCTTTGAATAATTATCTCTTTGATCAAAATATTAAAATAACTATATATCACATCACTGCAATAAAATAACAAATTAATACAATTTATCTAATCAATTAAGAAGTTGAATTACTCATTAAAATTTATTTTCCTAAAGGAAATTTGAACTTTAACCCATTTGCCACCTTTCAAAAAATTGTGATAGGCAAGTATACTATAAACAACATACCTATACATTGCATTTGTAGACATTAAAGAATTGACACCAAAAGAAGGAAATAATTAAAGGAAAAAAAAAGAAAAAAGAAAGACATATGAAAAGATAAGAAATTGAAGTTCTACAAAAAAACAAAAAAGAGAGAATTTATTCCATACCTATTGCTTAGTCTTTCTCTTAATCTCCTCTTTTTGTTTTGCCAGCATGATTCCACCCTGTGATTTTGATGTTCACTTCATCCAAAATAGTCCAATTTTTATTATAGCCACAAAAGTCCTTGAATTATTCTTATCAGTAGCAGTAGCAGCACGGCACCCCAACCAAATTTGTATTTCCTTCTTTTTTTTTTATTTATATAATCACGAGATGTGATTCCCTTCAACCGTAGAATATGGAGATTTTTTGCTTTTCAATAAATTGTGTTTCTTGAAAATAAATTGTATTCTCACCGTTATAGAAATTGTAATCGCTTACCATCCTAATCACAACTTTGTTGGAGACAAAGACTTATTTATACTGAGTGTATATACAGAATGAATCTCGTAATTCATACAAATAAAAGTATAAGATTTTTTCAGTTAATATCAACCAACTATTAACTAGCTATATGAAAAATCCATATATGTAGTGTAGACAAGTATTTTTCAATAACTAATTTATAGCTCTTTGGGAAGATTTTAACCTAAATACTTATCAAATAAATTTGAAAATTGACATTGTTATCAACAATTGGAAAGTAAGTAACTCATATGAAAATTATTTAAATGTCAATCAATAAATTTCATTTGACTAATTTGGATTTAAGAGAAACTAAAAGAATAATTTCTTAATTAAAATTTTTTAATCATATTTGAATTCAAATATAATAACATTATCGGAATTAAAAGAAAATTATATTGAGGAACATTAAAAGAAAATTATATTGAGGAACATTATAAAGAGAAAGGGAGTTATAAATAAATAGGCTAGCACCTTAAATTTAGGATTGAGCTTCTAATAAGATTCAACAATTATCAAAATTAATCATTTAAGCAGTCCTGCCTCAATAAATTTAGGTTTGAGCTTCTTGAATAGGATTGACAATGTATTGGCGCAAATTATACTAATCTTGTCTCAAAATTCATTCTCATTCTCGCATCTTAATTTCCGCCTCGCCCTACCTCACCCCTCTAATACAAAAAAAAAAAAAAAAAAAACGCCCTACCTACCCCTCCTAATAAAAAAAAAAAAAAAAAGATAAAATAATTAAAAAAAAAAAAAAAAAAAAGATATAAATAATTAAGTGTATGAGTGATTAGGTGAGCATTTAATTAATTATTCATTAATTTTATGGTTAATCATGGAGATTCCCACTTATTCATATATATAAATCCTAAAATATTTTTCCACAGATTTTGATGCTTCCATAATCACCAAAGTACAATCACTAATGATGTACTAATTAAACCCACGTGTCCACTTAAGTAGTTGCTAATTATACTAATTTGTTAATTATCGGTAGCTTGCAATTAAAATAAATAAATAAATAAAGAATATGGAAGTTGCATTAGATTAGTAATTTAATATAGAAACTAAAGAATTTAAATCCTTAAAAAAGGTGTTATTATTTTTTTAAAAAAAATTTCACGTATAATAAAATATAAATCTAAATAATCTTTAATTATTTTTTTTAAATAATTTGTTAGGAACCTTTTTCTTTTTTTTAATTGTCCAATTTTTTTTCGAATCTCTATATAGCTTTTGCATGATATTAGTCGAATTTCAGATCTTTTAGTGTTGGTTATTTTTTTCTTTTGAGTTTTGTTCTTCTTATTAAAAAAAATGGAACTAATTAAGCAAAGTTTTATTAGGTTTAAACTAATAATTAACCCAATTTGCTTGGGATTCACCATGGCTAATCTCAATTATCAAAATCGAGAATTTGACTGAAGTTTTAAATTCTTTTGAACACATGTCCAAGAATTTTATAGTTTTAATTGTTCTAATTTTTCTTTTTCACATTGAAAAAAAATATATATATATATATAATGTCATGTATTGTTGATAATAAGATAAGATGAGTATCAATTGTTAGGTTGTTATAATATAAGATAAGTATCAATTATACTAAAAAATATTTTGATACAATCATGTTCGGCTTGTCGTTACTCGGATCAAGATCCTTGAGAGCTCTGATTTCAGACCACATCGAAATCAAAATTGGTTAGACCTGTTGGTGTCAGAAAATTTCAATCAAAAGAAAAAAGGAAAGCAGCATGTGAAAATGGCATGAAGGCCTGCAGTGCAGGCACAATGAACGGTTAGATTGGTTTTTGAGTTTCCTTGTTAAGGGGAGGACATAGCTTAGCTGGACTCACATTTCTCAAATGATTTCTTGCAGTAAATTTTCTATTACAGACATTCAGTTCAAAGATTGGCTAATTGCATTATTGTCCCAAAGAAGGGCCAATACCCTAATAAGAAGCTGAAGCATAAAAGACTTGAGTTAAGTCATTATCGATATTTATTGGTTTTTACTTTTTAGTGCTGGAGTGAATTTGTCTCAACAATAATCAAATAAAATACAGTGAATTTTATAGTATTATTATATTTTTCAGAATTATTTTGTTTAATAATATCAAATAAATTCTTTTTTTTTTTTCTATTTGTTGAATTCAATGGATTAGAATAGTATTACATGTTACACGTAATAATATTATAAAATTATTATATATTCTCTTTCTCCCATATCGTAGGTTTAATTTCTCTTTTTACTTGTCTCAAATTATACCTTCTATCTTTTGAAAAAGATAATTTTTCTATTTTATCTTTAATTAGTGTGCATTTTATCAACAAATTTGCTATTATTAATATGAACTAAATCTTAAAATAAATAAAATTATTATTATTGTCACCTATGTTACCAGATTTTATAGTGACTTCATTCTTGAATTAGATTAATATTCATACGAGAGTAAATTAAAAAAAAATAAAAAAATTATGGTTTAATCATATTAATTATATTTTCTTAATCTAAGTGAAAGCAAAGTAGGCATGCCTAAAGTATTATCATGATTGGTTAAATAGAAAACACGAAAGAGACAAACGGGTTGGGAATAAATCACTCTTTCACAAAACCACAGTAATTTTATAAAGGTATCCATATGTATATTTTTTATAATCAATATGAGATTCCAAAGAACCGTGTTAAAATTATTTCTAGAATTTCAACTAATAAAATAATTAATTTTCTTTTTTAAGGAAAAAAAAAAAAAAAAGACTAAGAGACTACATATTTGCAAGTTATTGCAATGTCCCACTTCCCACTTTCAGTATTTTTCCCAAACTAAATAGTTTCCCATGGCCAGCAGTTCCAACCACCAACTTTCTTATCTATCTTTTTTATTTTTTGGATTCTCTAAGTCAACTTCTTCTCTTATATAATGTGATCCATTTCTACTATAAATAGACATTTCATATACCTCTAACTCACTCACTTCAAAACACTCTGCACAAACCAAAACAAGTGCAATTTAACTCTCTCCCTCTCTCATTACTATATTACTATTCTGCTTAAAAATTTCTAATTAAGTAAGCTACAAATGGACAATAATGAAGAAATTCCATCTGCTCCTTCAACACCAGCAACACCAGGAACTCCTGGTGCTCCTCTTTTTGGTGGGTTTAAAGGGACTGAGAGAGCTGGTGGTCTTACTAGAAAATCCATTCTTAATGGTTGCAGATGCTTCAGTATTGAAGAATGGGCTCTTGAAGAAGGCAGATTACCTCCTGTTTCTTGTTCAATACCTCCTCCTCCCGTCTCTCTTGCTAGAAAGGTTTTTCTCTCTCTCTTTTTTTTATTTTATTTTTTATATTTTTTTTACATTTCGACTTGTTGTTTGCAAGCAAGAAAGTTATTTTACATTCGGCTTCTTATTTGGTGTAGGTCGGAGCAGAGTTCATCGGAACACTTATACTGATATTTGCCGGCACGGCGACAGCCATTGTGAATCAAAAAACACAAGGAGCAGAAACACTAGTAGGCCTAGCAGCCTCTAGTGGACTAGCTGTGATGATTGTTATATTATCAACAGGACATATTTCTGGAGCTCATCTTAACCCATCTGTCACCATTGCTTTTGCTGCTCTCAACCATTTTCCATGGAAACATGTACTGATTCACTTAAAGTTTTTCCTTATTATTATGCTAATATAATTTCTTTTTTAATTTTGATTAATTAGGGAGGCTAATGATAATTACAGGTGCCAGTGTATATTGGAGCGCAAGTATTGGCGTCACTGGGAGCAGCATTTGCGTTGAAAGGGATACTTCATCCAATAATGGGTGGAGGAGTTACAGTTCCATCAGGAGGATATGGTCAAGCTTTTGCTTTGGAATTTATTATTAGCTTCAATCTCATGTTTGTTGTTACTGCCGTGGCCACCGACACCAGAGCTGTAAGATTCCTCTCTTCATCTTCATCACCATATATATATGATTATATATTAAAAATAAAATAATGTTTACCTGCATGGTGGGTGGATACACATAATCTACCGTGAAAAACAGCTTCCTATTTCTTTATCCTTTTTCCTTTGATAATGGATCAGTAGCAGACAGAGTGACAGACGAAATTTCCAAGAGACAGGATTGAGGCAAAGACACGCGAGTCAGTGAACATAGTTACTGATGTCGGATGATGAATATCAATCAATCAGTATTCAGTGGATTAAATAATTCATTTTTCTAGAACAAAAAATACTGTGAAGACTGAAGAAGAGTGGAATACTCGCTCAATCCAAACCTGTAATCCTGCGTCTTAAAATATTTTCTTTATTTTAAGGTAGGGTAAGTTCGAAATCAGAAAAGTTCTGAACGAATCTTGATTCCAAAATTTTAAAACCGGAAAGAGCATGAAAATTTATTGAAATTGGTTGATTCCAATTATTTAAAAAAACCTTAAAAATAAGAGTCACAGCTCACAAGGGGAATAGGAACCTCTTGTCCCTTGTCGCTTCTTCTTTCTAATCTTGCAAACTAACCCCAAACTTCTTGTCTTGCAAAGTTATTCTCTCTCTCTCCCATACATTTACCATCAATAAAGACATTGTTTCTCTTCTAGATAACTAGATTCTAAGGGGGGGCACATGCCTCCGTTTCCTACTCCTTCCATTGATTGACAAATGTATTTGGTCGGATTTCTTCTTTTTCCAACTTTTACTATTACCTTTTTCCTTTCCAAGTTCAAGAACAAAAAACATCAAGAACATAAAATAAAAACTATTTTTGCGTTCGCATACAAGCAATGGATGCAATCTAGAGCGACTACATATCATACAATTTAAATATAATAATATAAAATCGCCAAACCTGGTTGGCAATTGACTTAAAAAAACCATGTATAAGTGGCAACTGACTAAGATTATGAACATTGCAGGTGGGGGAATTGGCAGGAATTGCAGTAGGAGCCACTGTCATGCTCAACATACTCATTGCCGGGTATGTCGATGAGTACCCTTTCCTTCCTTTTATAGATAAACATATTCAATACCTAGAAATGGTGATTTTTACCGTTGAGACATCAACAGATACCAGTATACCAATACTACTAGAACTGAACTGAATGTCGTTGGTTAAATGGTGCAGGCCGGCAACAGGTGCATCAATGAACCCTGTGAGAACATTAGGGCCAGCGATAGCTGCAAACAATTACAAAGCCATATGGATCTACCTCACAGCGCCGATACTTGGAGCACTGTGTGGAGCAGGAACTTACTCTGCTGTCAAACTGCCAGAGGAAGATGGCAATGCTCGTCAAAAGCCTTTAGCAGCCACCGCGAGCTTCAGAAGGTGATTATTGATGAACTCTATAAGAGTAAAATCCAAACTGTGTCAGATAAAAAGTGCAAATGATTCTACTTGAGAAAAATGAGGTCGAAGTACTACTAAATATTGAGTTATGGTAGTAGGTATATATACATTCAAGAGAGAGAGATAAAACATGAATGGGTAGAAATCTATAACTCTATCATATAAGAAGAGCACCGTTTGTACCTTTATATATATATATATATATATATATATTGCAATTCTGTAACTAGTAGTTCCAAGAAAGGCCATCTCAGTGCTCCAAGAACAGTTAATTTCTTCCTCCTATTCTTGTCTTTCCCTTTCTAGTTTCTACTGATCCCATTGACTATATAAAATATTGCAACCTAAACTCCCTCCATCATTTTTCCTAAAACTACACATACGTGCAAAATGGGATCTCCAGCAACAACTTGTTTTAATAAGGGTTGTCACTCTGCTTTACTGGCCTATCGAGCGTATTACATACATTCAAAAAAAAGAAAAATTAATATAGTCTAATATGTTTGTTTTCAGTATCAACATTTTTTTTAAAATGGAGCTTCTGCCCCACACACGACAATCATTATTTCTTGCAAACAACTAGAAAAACCTTTATTCATTAAGGTTATCAACCATTCTGATTTGCTACCAAGGTACATTTATATATTTGAATTCACAGCTCATCGAGATGAGTATTTTCAGAGAGTACAAAAACGAGGGAGCCAACAGCGATAAACACTGCAGTAAAACAGAAACAGAATGAATAATGAGTCAACATCCGTACTTTCAGTGGCAGTAAGTTCAAATTTTTATGGGTTACAATTGCTTCAATTAATCCATGGGCTACTCTAACAGATTCTGATTGCTCCAACTTGACTAGTTTTTTAGTCTATCAAAACTTGGAAGTATGGACCGGATAATAAGTTTGAATTTTGGGAAAGCTGCCTATTAGAAATCCCGATTGTTCAGACTCACGTATATTTCTTCATTCAGCTGATGGGCTCTCGATTTAGTAACACATTCCTTTATCCCACAAAATTCCTTGCCGTAAATATAGATAAAAATAAGATTTCAGATGGTATATAAACTGATTTCTTCAGTCATTTCAGTGTTTTCAGAAATCTCTCAATAGACATTTGAGCCCCAAACAACTTCATAAATAAATCATCTAATTATGATTTGTCCAGAAGAAATTAACAAAATCATCATATCCATCAAAATTCCATGAGGAGACAAAAACTTGGGAACTCAGGAATACCGGCCAAAAAACAAAATTTCAAACTCAGAAGGAAATTCTCTTCTCTTTTTTTTTTTTTTGGGTAACTAAAATTAAAAAGCCAGTAAAGTATCAGCACATGATTTAGTGTATGTTCAAATCAATTCATGCACTGGATTTCTGGGCTCAACCAGTGGAGGATATTCTTAAGCTGCACACACTTTCAGACACCACATAAGGCATACGCTTTCTGTGTAGCGCCATTTCTTTGCCACCAAAGTTTTCCTTTTTGACTATCTAATATTGAAACACAGCTTCAAAGCTACCTCATAGAGAACAGAATTAACTTCAAAACTCTAAGTTTTACATTTCATTGAAAATGTAATAATAAGTGCTGGTTTAACCAACCATAATGCATCAAGAACCGACGTCAATTTCTCACTTTGCTGTTTAGGAGCACTAACAAGAACTTGGTGCAGATTCCAGAATTAATGCATAAGCTGAAACTTTCTTAGTCAATGGACCTTATAGACTTAAATTTATTGTGTCCATGAAAATAATTTGTATGTTTAATATTATAATTCATCAACTACAACCAGTTATAGTTTCAATTACTGTAACAAGCTACATTTATATCTATTGAACTATTCATTCTTGTAATCTTAGTGATGATTGGAGTGACAACCTTGGAATTAATTATCTCTCTCTCTATTTAGTAAAAATGGGTTTTATAAATGGTTCTTAAAAGATCATTTTAACTCCAAAATTAAAGCTAAGCAATTTAAAAGGACAATGGTACTCAACTCAAGTGATAAAAAGAAAAATTCCAGTGACAATCAATACAATCTGTAATCTCATAAAATTTTTACATAAGTTTGGATATATTATAAGATCAAAGAATCCTAAAACAAAAATAGTGTTCCAAAAAATAAAAGAAACTAACCTTTGTCTACTGCTTTTGCGGTCTCTACGAGACACACACAATTTCATTTCTCTTCCTTCACTTTCTCGTCAACCTAACAAGAAGAGAACTTTTTCCACTAGAACCTCAAGTTAACTCCACAAATACCCAATCTGCTCCCTAAACATCAAACCCCACAAAGCTAATCCCCTCAAACGGGCAAAACACGTCGGGTCAGTCCCGGAATCGAGTCGGATCCATCCTTACTTTTACCTACCCACAGTGCTAATGCAGCTATGAGGACACCCAGTAGATCGGCAGCTGCATCCTTGGCGGAGGCGCCGGCGGAGGGGAAGAGGCCAAGGTGGTCGGCGGCCTCCTTGGCGGCGCCAGCTGAAAGGGAGATAATAGATCCTATTAATACCGAGTGGCGACGGAGAAAGGGGTAGCGGGTAAGAGAGGCTAATTTGGAGAAGAAGAAAGTAAGAAAGAGACAAAAAATAAGGTGATAGAGCTTGTCAGGGGCTAGCCATGGATCTTCATCTTCATTGTCGTTTAACATTATGGGTTTAGGAGTCAAGGCCTTGAGTCTTCGATTGTTTTCATTTTTCTCCTTCAGGAGAAACAGGAAAAAAGGCGGATCTGTTCTGTGTCATTCGCGTGTGAGGGAAGAGGAGGGAAAAGTTTCCCTCTAATACAATGCCTGCTAATTACTAATTTTTATTTTCACAATATTGTTTCAGCCTACCCATAAATTCACGGTGTACTTTATGCAAAAAATCTAGCACTCTAATTTTTAGTTTAACATATTAAATACTTTATTTTATAAAACTATATTCATTCAATACTTAATTTGTAAAAATTATTATATTAAATATCAAACTACATATATTGTTTCAAAGATTAAACTAACTACAAATGAAGTGAAATGAACATTTCACATATGAACACGGTAAACACCAAAAAGCATGTTATTGTTAATGTAAAGAAGGATATAATGTCATTAAGAATCATACATTCAGGAGCATAATAGTCTGTCAGCAGAATTTAAGATACTATAAGATTTTTTTTGTTAAAGTATGATGATAAATTATTCATTTCGCCATATTGTTCCTGTTCCTTCTGCTTTGATTTATGATGTATTTGCTTCTTATTTGAGTTAATGAATTTCAAGCATTTCAATATATATATCACCTCAACATCCTATCAAATGACAAAAAAAAAATACTCAATTTGCTGCTAAAAAGAATAAAATAATAATTTTAACATTATTATTATTATTAAAAGAATATTCTTTATCTTTAATAATAATAATATATTATCAATTAAAAATAACAAAAAATTTATTATTTTACTTTTCTTTATTATAAAAAATTGTACCTTATGTTCATTTGACGCAAAGTGGAGCCTTATTCCTACTTCATGAGGAAATTGAGCCTTATCTCATTTTACAATTTCTTTTTTCTTTACATTTTTCCTAATAATAATTTAAAAAAAAAGATAGAGCAAAATGAAGGAAACACAAGATACAAACTAGGTTAGGATCGAAGTTTAGCTAAGATGAGCTTGGTGTTGATTTAGGCGCATTTTTTTTTTCTTTCGCATTACTAAATATTACTCCCTCCATCTCATTTTGTTTGCATGATTTGACAAAATACGCATATTAAGAATTTAGTCAATAAAAATTATTTTATCATTTTTTACCTTTAACTCATTGAAGATATTAATAAAAGTCTCTTATTTAATGAAGGATCATAAAGATTATTATGAAAAAAATAATTATTTATATGTCTAAATTTAGAAACTTTCCAAATATTTTGGGACATCCAAAAAAGGAATAACAAGCAAATAAAATGGGACGGAGGAATATAATTATCAATTAAAAATAACAAAAAATTTTATTATTACTTTTCTTTATTTATAAAAAATTGTACCTTATGTTCATTTGACGCAAAAGTGGGAGCCTTATTCCTACTTCATGAGGAAATTGAGCCTTATCTCATTTTCAATTTCTTTTCTTAACATTTTTCCCTAATAATTAATTTAAAAAAAGATAGAGCAAAATGAAGGAAAACACAAGATACCAAAACTAGCGTTAGGATTCGGAAGTTTAGCTAAAGATTGAGCTTGGTGTTGATTTAGGCGCATTTTTTTTTCTTTTCGCATTACTAAATATTTACTCCCTCCATACTCATTTTTGTTTGTGAATTTGACAAAATACGCATATTAAGAATTTAGTCAAATAAAAAAATTATTTTTATCATTTTTTACCCTTGTAACTCGATTGAAGATATTATAAAAGGTTCCTTCTATATTTAATGAAGGATCATAAAGATTAGTACTTCGAAAAAGAATAATTATTAAGTATGCACTAAAAATTTAGAAACTTTCCAAAATGATTTGGGACAATTCCCCAAAAAAAAAAGGCAACTAACAAGCAAATAAAAGGTGGTGCCCCGGAGGGCTGTTCTATAGTTGCAAAGTACGTTAGTATAATAATTGTTTTGCGGATATAATATATATAAAGCCTTATATGTCATCAACTCATTGAGCTTGGCTGGTTTGAAAACGGCGAATTTAAAAAAAAACCTCCTAAGAACTGTATCTGAATCCCAGCAAAATAATTATTTATATGTCTAAATTTAGAAACTTTCCAAATATTTTGGGACATCCAAAAAAGGAATAACAAGCAAATAAAATGGGACGGAGGGAGTACTTATATTAATTTTGGGAAATATATATAAAGCCCTTATATGTCATCAACTCATGAGCTTGGTGGTTTGAAACGGAATTTAAAAAACCTCCTAAGAACTGTATCTGATCCCAGCACTGTCACACTTAGATTGTATATTCAAAAATGTAGAACACAATACACAATTTTCTTTAATATGAAACTATAGTTATATGGCGATATACAGGAAAGAGGTCTATAGTATCCAACTTTCAATAAGTATTTACAAAAAAGAAAAAGAGAAGACAAGATGCTACTGCTACCCACAATTAGCAACCAGAAAGCAATATTGCGTACCGTTTCACTTCCATGTATAATAAAATTCTTGCTCAGCAAATGATTCCATACTTTTGAAGGTCAATAAATCATTCATAGCTATGCCAACACCACCACTGCACCACTTAACTGGTATCTTTTCATTTACTTTTGAAGGTCAATAACCCAATCATAGCTAGACCAGCACCACTACACCAATTATGTCTAGAACAGATAGCTTTCGAGCCTAATCTCGAATTTTATCAGCTCCAGTACATAGATCACTCATTTTCCAAAAAAAAAAAAAAAAAGAATTTGAACCTATTTCTTTGAAGGCACTCGTCTGCAACTGATGCTTCTCTTCCTGGATGCGCTTCATGGTAGTACAGGTAGTTGTACACTCTTGAAGGAAAAATAGCTGACACGACCATCGTCTACATGACAATACTTCAGAGGGACTTCGCCACATTGTCTCTCAAAGGCTTCAATTTTTGCTTTGGAGGGTGGACTTCCCCTATAGATAAGATAAGATATAAATAATAGAAAAGGGTTGATAATAAAAAAGAAATAATCCAAAATACATGCAATAATTTGGAACAGTTAACTGCACTTTGAGTTATTTGCCAGCATTCAATATAAGTTTGTACGATTCACCATTGCTAATGCATTGATCAAAAACTAGAAATACAATCCACTAATTTACAAACTAATATGTGCCTGCATAATGTTTGAACTAAACAATGCATCACACTGCTCAAGGTAAAAAGTCCTTTTCTTTCCTTTCTTTTTTGGAAATTCCAGAGTGTTGTTCAATTGAAAAAGAAGTTCGAGAAAAGAGTTAAGTAAAAAAGAAATTCCATGAACAAACCACTCATAAAGAACTCAGTATTTACTAATCAAAAGGCTAAAAAAAAAAATAAATAAATAAATTGCATAATTATAAGATTTAAAATTTAAATTTCCTCAAAATGTCTCTAAAATACGGAGGACAAAAAATTGCAACAATTAAGTAACATAAAACACGATATTCAACTTATTAGGATTAACCAACATAACTACCTAATTAAGTAGAGAATAAAAGCTGGATCACCAGGTGAAGACTTTCTAAACTTGCTATTTGGAAGATAAACATCAAAATTTGGATTCAACTCGTCAACCTGCAATTTACTTAGCCTTTTAACAATAAGAGCTGTGTCCTTCAATTCAGTATCTTCTATCAACCCATTGTTTTCTGGGGTGCCTTGAAAAGAATCAGATTTACAGCTACTCTTAACACCCTTCATAGACCAAGGAACACCATGACGCCCAACAATGTAACCAAGAGATTTGAGATGCCTATAGACCTCAAAAAGCTCCCAACAACACCCACTGTTCTCATCTACTGTTTTTCCATATAAATCTTTTAGAGAAAGGCATTCATCCTTATCATCGTTATCATCCATCACAAGCAATGCTCCCAGTTCAGCGAGAAACCTAAAGCAAATTTGGCTTTATGACATTAAAAAACATTAAAACATCAAAAATTCCTAAAGAAAGATTTTCTTTGTCACTAGCCTCCGCGGCTGAGTTTACAAGCTCAGACCTAGTTAGAAACTAAATAAACCAAATAAAAGAAAATATAAAAATCAGAAAGAACCATTTTCTTTCATTCCATACATGAAAACATGAAATTCTAAATAAACACCACGTACAATGTCTCCTCAATTGAGCAGTAAGTCTTGCCACTGCGAACAATTCCAGTTGTTGTCCACAATTTGCCCTTCTTTTCCACCACTTCAGCCATACCCATTTCATAATCCCACTTAGCCTTGGAAATATCACTCCTAAAATATAGCAAAAATGCAATTTCTATCACACCCCGAAGAAAACCCCACTGAAAAGAACAACTTAGAATCAAGAAATTAAAGGGAAAATAAATTTCTCGGATTGATGTTATTTTACCTAAATTGCAACTTGGGTAAAGAACCAGGTGTGTAGTAGACCTCTTCATCTTTCAAGTTGGCCTCAGTATCGCTCCCCTCCTCTGAAGAAGTTTCCCAATCCACAACCTCCATTGCTTGATTCAAAGAAAAGCTTGCTAAACAATAGTTGGCAGTGTCCGTTGACAGAAAGAGAAGAGAGAGACGCAAACAGAAAGAGAGAGAGAGAGAGGTTACTAAGGGAGATAGTTAGATAAACCTTACAAGTCACAAAATCTTTAATTAGATTTTAAAAAATAAAAAATCGATTTATTCTTTTTTTTTTTTTACGCAAGTTTTTGATAGACTTGAAAAACCTATAAATTTCATTTATTTCATTTTTATCATATTAGAACACGAATTATAGAAGTTTATTAAAATTAATTCAGAAAATAAATTATTGCAATAATGTCTCCTTTGTTGGTACTTACAATAACAACAACAAAGCATTCATTTCTAACTAGTTGAGATAGCCGTATCTGGTATGTTCAAAAATGAAAATGAAACCATTGTCTCCTTTGTTGGTACTTACAATAACAACAACAAAGCATTCATTTCTAACTAGTTGAGATAGCCGTATCTGGTATGTTCAAAAATGAAAATGAAACCATTGTCTCCTTTGTTGGTACTTACAATAACAACAACAAAGCATTCATTTCTAACTAGTTGAGATAGCCGTATCTGGTATGTTCAAAAATGAAAATGAAACCATTGTCTCCTTTGTTGGTACTTACAATAACAACAACAAAGCATTCATTTCTAACTAGTTGAGATAGCCGTATCTGGTATGTTCAAAAATGAAAATGAAACCATTGTCTCCTTTGTTGGTACTTACAATAACAACAACAAAGCATTCATTTCTAACTAGTTGAGATAGCCGTATCTGGTATGTTCAAAAATGAAAATGAAACCATTGTCTCCTTTGTTGGTACTTACAATAACAACAACAAAGCATTCATTTCTAACTAGTTGAGATAGCCGTATCTGGTATGTTCAAAAATGAAAATGAAACCATTGTCTCCTTTGTTGGTACTTACAATAACAACAACAAAGCATTCATTTCTAACTAGTTGAGATAGCCGTATCTGGTATGTTCAAAAATGAAAATGAAACCATTGTCTCCTTTGTTGGTACTTACAATAACAACAACAAAGCATTCATTTCTAACTAGTTGAGATAGCCGTATCTGGTATGTTCAAAAATGAAAATGAAACCATTTTCTCCTTTGTTGGTACCTATGTATGTTAAAAGTACAAAGCTTGGACAGGGAAACACTAATGAGAAAAATAGCAAAAAATTCATTCCAGAAACAAAGCTGTTCGCTTACCAACAAATCAGTCATCATATTTCATATGAATGTTTTCGGATTTGTTTTCTTTACAAAATTAGCTGTATCATAACCTCAATTAAACATCTATGAAATTTCCTCGGCCACCAAAAAGGGGCACTATGCAGTTTCACAAACTTCGAGCAACCTTCTCATATAAATCGTGAGGCCAATTCCTACTAGTATTGTTAGCAAGAAACTGTGCAATCTGCAAAGGTTGAAAGTAACATCCATCAAGAAGCAATAATAGATATGGCAATATATCATTTGATCATTTGAGAGCCATCATTGCTGCACCAAAAATTATTTGCAACTACAAAATGAATCCACTGACCAAAAAAACCGCAGAACATTGTTATCAAATCAAGTAACAAGTCGTAGAAAGAAACAATGTGTGACTTTAAGTAGGAATGAGGTCTAATATCGGTTATAACCAAATAAAGTAAAAGAACAATGCATCTATTGTTACAAAGGAGAGACAAAGTGAATTTGGAATAATTTTACTTCAAAATTTTGAGACACCAAAGAAACTATAAGCAACGAAATATTTGCAAAAGGACTGCGAACAATAGAATATCTAACAACAAAAACATGGAAAAAGATGGCAGAATTTCCAACATACCTTTGACCTCATGGCACGAAGAGATCCATCAGAATCTGTCACGTTGTCAAGACATGTAAGAGCTACCTTCAGAAGGTCTGGCACACATACTTGAACGTGAAGAGACAAATTCTGAAATGCATCTAAAGTGACATCTGGCACTCGTGGATCCAATGGAAGAAAGGGAAGTTTAGCAACCTCCCTTAAGGCATCAAGATAATGACCCAATCTTGCCAACTTGTGAACAGACAAAATTGCCTCGAGTTGTCTCAACACGGTTTCTTGCTCTACAACATGCTCTCTCTCTTGAAGACTGGATGCCATAGATGAGTAATCTTTAAGGTCAGACAATTTTTACACTTTTTTAAAAAAAAAAAAAAAAAAGAAAAAAAAAAGAAAAGAAAAGAAAATGTATGAGGACTGATAAATTTTTGCAGCTTAAAAGAAAGGGAATTAGATAAAAGTTCAAAACAACATTGAAACTCAAAATCAAATTCAGACTTTACTAATTATGACAAAATCTCACAATTTGAATTGATGACTAAGATGTTAGCCAACACTATCAAGTTAATTCACGAATGCTAACACATAATAATACAAACTTTGAGATTACGTACGAGCTGAGCAAACAAGGTTCAAAGACATTTATCACCATTTCAAAAAAAATTTAGAAATCTCAGAACATCTAACGCTTGCGTTATGCATAAAATGGTAACTGTAAAAGTATGAAACATATTGGGTCTACCTTGCAACATAACATCACAAGCATCAAATTGACTTCAATTACAATAGCTAGGGGTGCTCTCATTCAATTGCAAGTCCACCTTAAATAACAAAGTTTCCAGACATGATCCAAAAGTAAATTGTGAAGGTACGTCTAACATCTTAAAAAGATCATGTAGAACCCCAGGTTCTCACACCCAAAAGATTGTAATTCAAGCAACAGCCTCCAATGCTCATAGAGGCTACATCTTTATATTGAGAAATAAAACAGAGAATTGCTAACGAGGAAAATAATCACTTAACTTTCCTACCATTACAATGCCTAAAGGAAGATTTATAACAGCAAAGAGGTCCTCTTCTAGACATGCTTGGATGACAACTGAACACAAATTTGACCCGTGGGCAGAAATATATACATAATTTCTTTTTTAACTTGTAAGGTTCCTCTTCAAGCATCATGTATGAGCTAGTAATAAATACCAAAAGCGAAAAATAGCCTTTACTCACCTATAATTATCAAGAAAGAGAACACAAAGAATGAAATATTAGCAAATGTCCTACCTGACTTCAGGATAATACTTGTATGTCTCCAAAATCTCATTACCAGAATGAACAAGACCAGCAGTCCGGCTCTCACCATCCAATCTCCCACGTGACAGAGCACAGATTGCTTCAGATAGGCACTTGTTAATTGTATCCAAAGCCATAGAGAATGCTCCAACTCGCTTCTGAATTTCTATGGACTGGGTTTTGATAACAACAAAAGCAAAGCAACAAAAGAAAAAATATCACATAAAACAAAAACAAAATAATAGAAAACAAAGTAACAATTGGAGCGATGCATCAGTAACAAAATGAATATATCTCAATTACCAAAAAGATAAACATAACTCTTTTATGTGGCACAAGAGAGAGAGAGAGAGAGAGAGAGAGAGAGAGAAGAATGAAACAAAATATAATGTTGAAAAAGGGAACAGATAAAATACAGTAGATTTTTTTGACAGCATTCCTTAACTATTTGTAGTAGTAGGTGTCATGTGGTTTAAAATGGAAGTGAATTAGAAACGAATGTGAAATGCTCCTACCAAAGTAAAGAATTGCCAAACTTAAGTCAAAGGTAAGAAAAGAAATTTTACTTTATCATAGAGTCCAGCTTCCTGACATTGACGAGCAGCTTCAAGCAGAAATTGTTGTCTTGTTTTGAAGTCATTAAAAAATCGCACCAATTCACCTTCTTCCCCAGCACCACGAGGACCAAGTAAAAGATAAATACCACCATCCCGCAACAAAAGCTCAGTAAGGAGTTGCTTCAGCATCAAACTTCTCTGTCTTTGCTGATCCACATTACCTCTTCCAGACCATGACACCTCTCCACCGCCTATTGCAGCAGCAGCTTGTGCATAATATTCCAATGCCAGAGGGAGATTCCCATGACGTAAATATGCAGAACCATACTGCCTAATTATACTAGAGACTTCTGCACAAGCGTCCATGATACCTAGCTTTTGTCCAGCTCCAGACACTTCAGAAAGAACCCCATGGTCTGCTAGCACAATTGATATGTGGACAGCATCTATATCATATCCCTCGTCACCAACTTCCTTGGACATATGCAAGACAGCTTTTAGCAACTGGATGCTTAAAAGCAACACATAAGGGTAGACCAGAGGGTCCTTCCCATTTTTGGTATAATATGATGGCTCAAATTTATTCAGGTAAGCCTGTAAATCTTCCAAACTGTATGGTGCTGAACCTTCACTGAGGAACACAGATGACGTCCCACCATGAAAGTCTCTTACAGCTGCTAACTTGAACCATAAAAAGTCCTCTATAGTATTGAAAAGTGTTGGTAGATCTCTCAACAGACGGTCAATTTGCCTCCTAGAACCAGATACTATAGAATAGAGTAACAACTTTTTCTTGTCATATGCAGGTCGACCCACCCGATCAACCATTCTTAACATTTTTTCACATTCTTCTGAAGCAGAAGCTGCAATTTCCGGAGGGACAATTCCTCCATTGTTAATCCACTCTGTAAGCTGTCAAAGAAAAGCTTATGACTAACAGATATAAAAGTCTTTTGTATCTTAAGCAGAGAACAACAATTACCAGAGGAGCAAATTGCTGTGAAGCACGGGATGACAGAGCAACATTTCTGGCTTCATCGTAATACCCAGTCCTCAAGCAAAAATAAATCTAAAAATTGCAGAAAATATTTCAGTTTCTCTTTTAACATAAGAAAAGAAAATGTATCAATAAAGAGGAAACCATGGAGAACAAGGGATCCTCAAATATATCTCAATAGAAAACTGCAAACCAGATTATATAAAAAGGGATGCAAATGCAACGCCTTAAGTAACCCGGATAACACTCAAAGAGGCACCCTAAGGCTCTATAAGCTCTGGAAAATAGGATTTGGTATGAACTGCAGTCATTTTTAAAAGCATATGATTAGTTTGGCATGGTATATATTAAAAAAATAATATTCTTTAACAGGAAAACAAACACACACAAAAGGTAGTGATAAATTGTGGTCGATAGATTTTTCAAATAATAATTGATCTAAACTACAGCTTCATAAGCAATTGCAGACTCCAAAGATGCTAAAACTGTATATTATAAGTCCACAGAAAAGGGAGAAAAAGATAGAAGAACACCTAATTCAGGTAAACAATGGAACTAAACAACCCAAACACCCACTCCATATAACTCAATTAATCCCTAAATAGATGCAAGATCTGCTAGCCTTAAAGACTAGTGACTAGAGTCATAAAGTCTCAAAAAGGGAGAACTTCAACATATGCAACCAAAACCAAAAATATGAAGTGCAGGAAACGAGAAAATTCGAGGACAAACGGAGATGCTACTTAAGGCGTATAACAAAAATAAACAAGAAGGCATTCATGTTTAGAAATGATATCTATCTAGTGGATGGTAATTCCATGAACAGATTCAACCATTCAATGAGGTGTCAGTAGCAATATTAAATCGTCTGAACAAGAAGGCATTTTCAGAAATCAATTGAGAAATTATGAATTTCAATAAAATGCATAGCCAAAAACTTGGGAACAGCATCAACAATTCAATTAGTTACAAAATCATGAAGAAAAATTTTAATGAACTTCCTTTACATCTGAACTTATAAATACAAATATGAAGTTATCCATGACCTGCTGCCAAGTAGTATCAACTGGAGGCTGCCTACGTGCATCTCCTGCATCAAAATCTAGAACTCCATAATCCCTCAAACGAATCTGCACCAAAGAATGAAAAGCAGAAATATATTTCAAAATCCGAGAAGAATGAAATAAGTATAGCTTGCAACAGGAACGAAAATGGCACTAGTGTGACAAACCCGAAGAAATGCACGAACTCTTTGTAAATTTCCAACCGCTCCACCAAGGGCAGCCTTGAGATTGAAAAAAAAAACACACATCAGGGTTTTCACATAATCAACAATGGAGCAAGCAACCATGTTTGACCAAAGGAAAAAACAAGTTGCAACAGAAACCAGACAAATATTAGATGGATATGTTAAACCCTTATTTAGTTCTGGAAAAAGTAAAAATACCATAAGGTAGAATAACAGTCAAAGAATTCTTTACCTGTGCTGGATGACTTTGTATAGTATCCATAATATACTTTTCATGTCCCCATTCTAGATGTTGCCTTGCACCAGTCACTAATAACATTTTTTTTGAAAGATTTCGTTGAATGGTTGAATTTTCACCCATCAATGTCTGTAAAATCAGCAAATTCATCAGTGACAAATTATTGGTGCAAGAGAAAGAAGCATAATAAATACAATACAAAGTTTTAAAGTAGACACTATTTGAGAACAAACTAAGCAAACAAGTGAGAAATGCACCTGAACAAGATGCCATATCTTCTGCATGCTAACTGATTTTCCACCAGAAGCTTCAAGACCCAAACTTTCATAAGCACCCTTGAAGGCTGTTCCAGGCTAAAGAAAAAAAGGGCACAGTAATAAATCCTGAATATACAGAAAAACCTTATAACAATGAATTAAAGCATAATTGCCATTGGAGACTTCTTCGCTTTAGATGTGGGGCACAATGCCATAATTAAAATTTTCCTATGAGCTACGAGCTTGTGGGTCACTATCTCCACTAACTCATCTATGAAGTACTTCATTTAGCAACACACAAAAAGAGCCAATAGGTATAGCATAGAACCATAATAGGAGTGAAGAAAATCCTAGTTTGTATGTGGTTAGATATCATGCCCCTTAGATGTGATATACATTCCTATAAGGCAAAATGCCTAAGAATCCCATTGATTGATTTCTGGCCAGCCTAAAGTGATGCCAAGTTATTCATTTATATCCTTGCCTAGTAATTTTCAGTTTAGTTTCACGTTATGCACAGCTTGCTTGGAAATACACCTCCTATCTTATCTTCCTCCGAGATTAATTGAGCTACTTGCGTCGTTCTTAAGTTCAAATAAATCAAAATCTTCTCACCAGTTTTTGATGTTAGATGTGCATCACTTTAGGTGTAAGAGGCGATGAAAAATATCAAACAAAAGCATGCAGTTATGGTCCAGCCCAAGTGGCTGCCAGTTCAACTCTTAAGCATTAACAAGATTATGCCTTTCAATCAACTGTTAACTAGTGAAAATTATTTGTAAATCTTTACAAACCACTTAAAAGGGTAAAGTGTCTCAACACGACACAGAGAGAGATTTTAAAAAAAAAAATAACAACCCTACGTACTTTAAAGTGCAAGCCACGTTCTCTTGCATTGTTCAGGCTCTTTACAACTTCTGCATAGGCTGAAGCTTTTTTCTCCAGGATTGGCTTGTTATCCAAGGGTACTATCTCCATGCCTGAAGGAACAGAAGAAACCTGGGGGCTGGAAGCCATGGATGCCACTGGACCTAAGCGAGTACCTCCAGTTCTTGTATCGACTGCATTAACCTTAGGTAATGTTGAAATGCGGCTCAAGCTTTGAAGAAAATCACGTTTTTCTTTTTGCCAATCTTCCTGCAATAGATTAAGTTCTATCAACTAATCAAGGTTGGAAGTACATTAAATTCTATCAACCAATCCTTAGCTGTGATCAATATAATGAGTTGTTACAGTTTCTGTTAATGCAACAAAACTCTCCTCCCTTTTTATAGGCAAGTGGCAAGCCAGTATTCAAGATGTTTCATAACGTCATAACCTCCAACCCACCCCCTTCCTTCTAAACATTGCACTCCTAATTTTGCATTTGCCACATAGAGAAGCCAAATAATCTGAACTAATTTCATGGGGGGAAAGAAGAGAGAACAAAAAGAAAAAGACAAGAACATGAATATAGAAAGATTGCAAAATCTTGGAGGCAACTACATCTATCTTAAGATACTCCAAAACATAAGAAATTTTCATATTAAGCTCTCAGATGGAATGTGTTGATTATTGATCTTTTCCTTTGGTTGTATGATTAGGAATCTTGTTGCACAAATAAGAGGAAATAGTCTGTTCCATTTGCCACACTATAAAACCAAGTCACATGCATAATATTAAGCAATAACTTTATTCAGTACAACCATCACTTTTTATTTTATTTAACTTTGACATTTTTTCAGCTACTAAACTAATGTTCATTTTAATGAAAAATTTTAAAATAGACTAATTTATCTTGAGGTGATTTATTTTTTTCTTGTAAACTTAAATTTGCGCTTAATCCAATGCTAATTACATCATCTAAATAAGTGCAAGGTATAAATAAACAGGCTGAAAATAATTTAATTACTTCTAAAGGTTACAATTGCTAGAAATAATATCCTTAACATGCATATATACATATAGCATCAACCAAGAATATTAACTATCAACGAAACACCAATATGTATAAAAATAAATAAATCCTACAATCTTGAAGAAATGAAAAGAAAAGAGTACGACAAAAACGATAAAAGATGCATAAGCATATGTGGTGAATGAATATGTGTTGTTTGTTGCACACACACACACACACACAAGAGTACATCTTGTTCTCTTCTTCAAGTAAAAGGGAATATACAAAATGTAATTCCTTAGTAAGAACAATTAAACTCAGAACATCATGGTTTTGCATATGGAGTTACTTTACATGTTGTTCCAAGAACTAACCATAGAATTTCTTCTAAAAGGTAAAGAAGTACAATTGGGAAAAGAAAATCTAGAATGCAATGTGCTGATCTGCAATTTCTTTAGTTAGTTTTACTGAAAGAGCATTGAAAGTTATACTAAATTCCATATGCATGCTCTATTTCTCACCTCCAAAACTTTCATCATGTAATCATTAAAACTTCTCAGATTATCCTTCTGAGCTTCCTGTACGGCTGACACCATTGCCATTTCATGAACCTAAAACACAAAAATTGTACAAAATATAAACATCAGGTTAATAATAAATTACTTTTGTTAAAAAGATAAAAAAAATTAAGAAAGCAAGTTTATCTTATTTATTAGATATAATTTACTTAAAAAGAAAGCAGAGTTGTAAATCAAATGAGAAAACCTTGACAAAACATGCAAAAAGCATTGGAACACCAAAGCCGTTTTTATGTACAATGACGACCTATCTATTAGTAAATGAGTTGCGAAAGAAGGTAGAACATTGCTATTGTTGTTGAAGTTCAGTATAAGAGTTGAAAACAGCAAGATAAGGAAAAGAAAATCAGACATTCTAAAAATTTGAGATGACAATGGAACAGGTATATAAAGCTTAAATAAGCCTTGAAAGCAATAGGAAGCAAAAGATCTCTTGAAGATGACATGTGCATATGTATGTGGACAAGTGTTTATGCTGGTAACTTTTCATGCTGCTCTACGCAAGCCATGCTAGGAGGGCAACAAAATAAGAGCAAGTGAAGATATTGTGATGATCATGGCCATGAAATAAGCAATTATAATATACAAATGAATGGAAATGTAAACAAAGTGGAACAGCCTAAATATACCAAGATAAAAAAATATTCAAGAAAAGCTTTTCCGAAAAGAAGAGCACTTAAAGAAAATAAATTCAAACAGAATAACCATGTGGAAATATCCATTGCAACAGCAAGATTTAAATAATCAAATAAATGAAGAAAATAATAATAAAAAAGTAGTAATTATGATATATCGAAACCATAGTTTAGTTCACAATGTAAAGGCTGAAAATTACCTGCTGCAAATATTCTTCAACACTAGTAGCCTCAGCAGGGAACACATCCTCAAATGTCGTCTTCAAAGAGATAGGAAAAAATAAAGTTAGTAACAAAAAAAATACGATATCGATGATTTGAAGTTTGAACACAAATTTTGTAAGAACAAAGAAACCATTAGGGCAAAAACAATGGGGGCTTGAACCCAACAAACCACTCAGCTAGTTGAGATATCAAATCAAAATTGCTACTGCACATTCTTACTCCTGTAAAATATCCACTATGTACCATGGCCACTTAGGATTAACGGAAACACATTAAAGGGAATCATGCTGTGAAATGTTTGATACAGTTTACAAGCGTGCAGATTATAACTTAAAATGCATCATACAGGATGTAAAATAATTTTTACCTTTAATTCAAAAGACTTAAGATCTCGTGCTAGCTGCTCAGCATTTATTCCTTCACGTGCAAGAAGCCTTTGAATTCACCGAGACAAAAAACAAGCAGAGAGATATACAGGTCATAAACAAGAAACGTAGAAAACCTCCATAGAAATATTTCAATTTTTCTTTTTTATTCATTTTGCTATGGCTCCTTGGAATAATCAGAAAAACAAAGTTAAAAGTAAATTATGCAGATGCCAAAAGAGTTTGGGACAAAATTAGAAAGGCACCTTGTTGCAGCAATAGATTGAGAAGGGGCTTCAGCTCTCAAGGTTTTTGCCTTGAGCTTCTTTGACAATGATTCTAACTGATCTAAGTTCCTCTGAAACATTCACAGATACAAACTCGATAAAAGGAACAGCCAAATCCACTTAGTCAGTGTATATAAAGCAACAAAAAAAAAAAAAAATTTAATTTCTCTGTTATTGGAAAGGAAACAGCCACATCCATTGATGAAAGTTTGTTATCGAAACAAGAATTTCTCTTTCATCTCTTTTCGGATGATAAATAGTGGACCAGTGAAAGAATTAGAATGGAAATTGAAAATTGTCAATTCAATTAACTGTATTCACCAATTCCAAGTAATAAAAGTTACTAAGATACATTTCTAACGTCTATATTTTGACTTATCTCAACAACTTAAAGAACAAATGGTGAACTAAATCCGATTGAAACTATAGGGCGTTTCCTTTGAGTGCCGCGTATCGAATAGAGATGTATATTTCTTCATAATTAATTCTCTTTCTTCCGGTTTCCTAAATTTGTTTGAGGAGAATAAATCAGAACACTAATGAATGGACAAAACTAGTAGTGGAGAATTCAATTCATTTTCGTTTTTTTCTTCTCAAAATTTCCTTCATATATTAGCATAAACCAATCTCAGTTTATAGTTGATGAAAGTTTGTTCTAAGCTCATAAATAACTGTTTGTTGCGCTCTCTTTTCCCTTTTCACTGTATTTTCCCCAGAAAGAAGAGGTAGAGAGTTGCAACTTTCACGGCAATATTTCCAATTTCCATCTCCACTAATGAAAATGTTGATTCGGTATTCCAATTCTTTAATTTTCCTTTTAGTCGCAATGTTAATGACCAAGAAGTAGAAACAAAATTTCATTAATTTGTGAGGCTTGAAATTTTAATTCTACTTCATTTTCTCGGGAAACAAACAGGAAAAAGGAAGAAAGGGAAAGAGAGAATAGTGAAGGACCTGTAAAGGAGGGAACTGAGCAGAAGGAGCAGCTTGTTCCAGAAGCTTAGTGGAAGAGTGAAGCAGATCGGTCCAGCTAGTCATGTCTTGTTCACTCGCCATAACTTTCCGCTCTAACCGCGAAATTGCTATGTATTCTCTCTCTCTCTCTCTCTCTCTCTCTCTCTCTTTTTTCCGTTTCAATTGCGAGAGAGGGAAAGGTTTTAGGGTTTTAGGTTTGAGCGGAAACTCATTCTTCTGTTGAAATATTTGCAGGAGTGCCATAACTTTGGTCACGTGGCACCGTTTGGAGGAGAATTACTGGGATAATTTTTTCTTTTTTTTTTTTTTTTAAATAGCAATCAATTACTGGGATTTTAAAAAATTATTATAGAATAAAAATTATTAACATTGTGAAATAATTATTAATATTTACAATGCAAAATAAGAAATTATTCGGCTTAATTCCACCCGAGATTCCTCAATTATAGATACAATTATAATGTTGTTTCTTAAATTTAATTTAGAATAATAACAAATGGAACAAACCATGCGAAATAAGAACATCAACACCCATAACCACTGTCACCATAAAATCTCAATTTTTCAACACTATCTTGCAATTTCAATCGACGGAGCTAAAAAATGTGATATAAGTTAAATGATAACCAAAAAATATTACAATTCTGACTAACTCACTCATTCAAAGTTGCAATTGTATCATATAGATGTAAAAGAAGGACATAACCAATGGCGCCGAGGATAAGCAGAGTGGTTGCAATGGTGACATCGGTGATGGCAATTATGGATTTCTTCTCTCTGCATTTCTGTTGCATTTCGATTTCAACATAGCTCTCAGCTAAGGGCTTTTTTTTTTCTTGTCTTTTTATCGTCTTCATCTTTTGCTTTTCATTTCGTTTCCGATTGATTTTCTTTCTGCAAATTTTTATTTTACTAGATTGATGGCCTGCTTTTTTAGATTTAGATCTAAATTTTTAAAGATTTAGATATAGGATTTTCGAAATCTGCATAGGATTGCTCATTTGTAAATCTTAATCATCCTCTTGATTTTTTTACTTTCGTTGCTTTTGTAAAACTTAATCTGCATTTTGGTGAATTATTTACTGTAAAGGAAAGAGAAAGTAACGGAGGGAGGAAAGAGATAAAAAATCTCTTGACAAAAAATGGGCAAGAGAGAGAACAAATTATAAGAGAAATTTACATTTTTCAAGACTTAACGTGGCATTAAAAATAATAAAAAAAAGCTGAGTTGGTGTGCCACATCAACTTTTCGGCGTCTTTTCACCGCAAATCAGCCCAAAAGGAATTTTCTCAAATACACAAATTGAAATTAAGAAATTTTACAGTTATAAATTGAATTCGAGTGACAGCACTATAACAGTGCCTATAATTGAGGAACATAGAATGAAATTAAGCCGTAGAAATGTTTATATCAATTCAGCACCTTAAACTCTAATATTGTAGATTTTAGCTTTTCTGATAAAAATTAAATTTAATCATAAATTTGGTATTTAATTTTTTAAAATTTTTCATTTCAGTGTTTCAACAGAAAACGTTTACAATTCAAGTTTCTGAATCAATAAATTATTTATAATCAGGTATTTCTGTCCTACGTGATTTATCGAAAATACAAATAAAATTCATGAATCCCGTTTAATGTTCAAGAAATAGTTGAGTAGAAATATTAAGGTCTTAACACGTTGGATTTCACGTGTAAAACAGATTTACGGTAAAAACTTACGGACAAATCTGCCTTAGACCCTCACCCACCGCTTTCACCGCCTCCAATCCCTTGATTCTTGTTCATCCTATCAAAATAACCTCCATCGAGTCATGACCTAGTCGACGCTCCTCTTGATTCTGGTACTTCCAATCAGTCACCAGCGGTTAACAATGGTGATCCGGCGTCTTCACCTAATCCACCGGTTCATGATTGACTCGGATTGAGGTAGAATTGAGTCAAATTGGTTTCTTTTTGTTATCAAAGTTTCGCCATATGCCATGTTTGTCGATATAAAGAGCCTCATGTTTGTACTTATCAACAGTCCTACCCCTCAAGCTCTTTACTTTGCATTTGAAATCACTCTGAAAGCTTCTTGGTTGTATAAATATATAATTCAGTTTGCATACAAAAATCCACCTGCAAAATTTATTCAAGTCAAAATATAATTCTCCGTAGCAATTAATAAAATTAATAACAATTAACAACTCTCGTTGTAATTTGTAAGTTAATAGCTCAGATGAAGCAAGTAGTCTTAATATCCGCCAATTTCATGGAAACCAATGTCTTAGACCAAAGAGTAAAATATCAAATTGATAAGAAAAGCATCCAAAAAGAATAAAAATGGTAAGCCTGAAAGCAAATACGAGAGCATAAAAGCAAAGATATTGCAAAATGATACGTGATGTAAATTAATCTACTAGCAATATACTTGCATAAACGGATGAGAGAATATAGAGTGGGTATCTGTTCAATGTTGAAACTGCAGAGAACAGAAAAATCGAAAGGCTAATTTGAGATAATGTAGTCATGGCCGTGGGTGACGAAGACAAAAGAAGAAGACAACTTTTGAGTCCGGACAAACAGCTTCAAAGGCTAATTTTTTAATATTTTTAATTAATAAACTTGTTTGACATGTGAAATCCTTGTTTCCTGCTTACCTTATTTTTTTTTAATATTCAGTATGTCTCACAAGTACTATGTGTGTTTCTCGATCCATATAAAACGAAAATAACTGATTGTAAATAATTTATTGATTTAGAAATTTAATTATAAATATTTTCTGTTGAGACACTGAATCAGAAATAAATTTTTTTGAAAAATTCCGACACTAAATTTATAATTATGCTCTAAAAAATAACTAAGATATTATTTTTTACATTTAAAATATATTTCAAAATATAAAACTACTTTTAAAAATAAAAAAAAAAACCAATCACACTGTGGAAGGCAGAGAAAAAGAGAAAACAATAACAAAAACAGATTTCAATTCTCAAGTTTTTAAATTTATGATTTATAAAAATATTTTATATTTTTTGAAAATAGAAGACTTAAATTTTTTTTTTTTGGATAAAAATAGGGTAAACTAATCATATTCAAAATTTATATCCCAAATTAGTCATTTTCAAAAAAGAACCCTAAATTAGTCCAAAAATTAATTTTGAAGTTTGAACCAAATTCAAAATTTATCAATAAACTTCAGGAACCAAATGCAGCTTATTCCACCGAGAAAAAGTTGTAGGTTACAAATTGAGAATTTATCGATTTTGAAGGAGAAGAGCAACTAAGGTGAAAAACTGAACATAATTCAATAGATATCAAAATGCTATTGATTGCTTGGTCTAGCAATTATGGTTAGTTCTCAGCATTTCACAGTGCATGACGCTCTAAAACTATTAATGGAGTTATACAAAGATCTTTAAACTGCAGAAGTTCAGAATTTTGCAACTAGAGGAAGACAGTGAACTAAAAAGAAAGGGAAGCGGGCAAACATGAGAACAGAATTTCTATTTTTACCCCAGAATTCTGTGCTAGCATTTCAGCGGGACAATGATCAAGGGCCATCGCAGCAGAGCCAGAAAATAACATCTCAAATAGAAGAAAATTATTTAATGACTGAAATCAAACTAAATCAGAAGAATTGCATTAATTATACTCTGTAACAAAATCCAAGTCATGGTAACTTCAACTGTGATACATTCCTCATGTAATGTTAGATGAAGAACACTTCATAAGCAAATAACTAGTTTCTCAATGCTAATTCATCTTCTCGATTAAATCATTTATTTCATCCTCGCGATTTCCAGTGTCTCCTCCATCCTTGTATGGTGCTCTCTTTCCCTGCAATCCTTCCTTTGGCTTGCTGAGTGCAAATGGCCCCAAAAAATTAGTTATCTCCTTAAAATGTGGACCCACATTAGTAATTTCATGTACAATGTCTTCCAAACATAGGATACCATACTTCCCTAATGCCTGCCAAGCAACAAAAGTAATAGTGTTACAAGCATTACAAAACTTCAGATAGCAAAGGTTTCAGGAGTACATTTCGCTACCTGCTCAATAATGGTGTTATCTATCAGAGAAACTCTTTGATGGTTTAGCTTCCCACAACCTTTCTTGTATATTAGATCTTTCACATTCTTCAGATTTGGATACCTTGGAAAACAAAGGAGAATCTCGTAACCAATTAATTAATTGATACTAATTACTAAGTTATAAGACAAACAAGAGAGTGTGCAACATTGGAATAATGGTCTCATGAACAATGGCATGATTTCCAGTGTAAGACTAAGATAATTCAGAGGGACTCACAACTTCATCACAATTAGCCACAAAATAATATACAGATTCCAACTATATTGCCACATCATTCCTCCATCCCAATCTATATGTAGATATTATGTTAGGCATATACGGACAGGGGTTTGAGCTTCCTACCCAAATGTAATATATGGCTCCACCTTTTGCAGCATATCAAACACTCCAGCACTTGCCTTCATGAAAACACCATGAAAGACTCTTCTTAATTTTAGGTTGTATAAAATCTTCCTTGTTCTCGGGTGCATATCATTTTTTCTGAAAAAAAAAAAGGATGTATCAGAACCAGAAAAATATACACAAGAAAATAAAATGAACTGAACTGTTGTGCTAAAAGGGAAAATATATGCTACCCCTGTATGCGAACAATGAAGAGAAGCTTTGATTGTGGTGTCCATGATGATGATTTTGCCCTCTTTGCCCTCTGTTTCATTCTGATGAGGTCCAATTCCTAGGTGTGAACAGCAGATTAATAAAAAAAGACCATCAAGTTTCACGCAACCTAGAAACTATGATATGAAATGGACCAGGAAAAGACACCACCATCTCACGAAATAGTTAGTTACTAAGTTAAAAATTTATGATTCAGTCCATGAAAATTACCAAGATTATGAAAGTTTAATCACTATAGGCACAACCCTCCAAGGAGGGGGTATAATTAACTTATCTGCTTTCTTGATGTTACCAACATATAAACAATTTTGTGGTTTTTGTGTGCTCCAAAATGACAATTTAGAGCTATGTCCTGCAAAACATGTTTGCTTCCGACTACACAGAGACAGAAATACACAAATCCTAATACATTCCGTACAACAGTAGATAACCTAATTTAACCATGTAAACACACATACTGGTAACATGATAGAGATATAAAATGAATCTAAGATAAAAAGCAGTCAAAAGTAAATCAGACGACTATTTGTTGACTTAAACTTGAATAATCTCCATATATTAGAAAAGGATTAAGGTTTTAGTTTTTTTCTCTTTTCAATTCATCTACATTAATATTTTTAAGCAATAAATAAATTGCTAAAACGTGATAGCTTTCCTCTAAAATAACCAGAAAAAAAACACTAATTTAAACTAAATTGAGAGCAAACTAAAAGAAACCATTTGAGATTTATAACTTACCTTGTCCCTGAACTCCTTGATAAACTGTTCAGGCCTTTTGATTTCCTCCATCTTCCTCTTCTTCCCTCCATATTTCCCAGACTCCAGCTGCTGCTTCCTTGTTAGTGCTATTGATTCTTCCTTGTGTTTTCTTTTCTTCAATATAACTTCCGACACAAAAGCCAACTGTTTTGACTCCTCTTCCGCCATTATTACTATTATTCTCTCCCTATTCAACCAGTGTCTGCTTTGTCAGTGAAATTTCATAACTAGGATAGATATATATTTGCAACCAAAGAAGGCAGAATCGAAATCTGTATTTCTCAAAAACAAAAAAATTGCAACTTTAACGATCATAGTTATGCATGAGCTGTTTGGTTTCCTATAAAACCAGAAATCTTTCATTTAATATGAATTTTAACACTAAAAATTATAGGCGCGGAAACGAATAGCAAATTGAAGAAGAAGAAGCAATATAATTATTAAAGAGAGTTTATCTGAAAGCTAAGGAGAGTTGTACTTGAGGAAGAAGCTTAGAAGCGGCGACTTGCGAGCTGAACAAGAGAGAGGGTTTCTTTGCCTCTCTCTTTTGTGGCAAAAACCCCAAATTATGGGTTATAAACGGTTACCGCATAAACTACTAACCCTGCCTGAACGACGACGTTTCGCCATTAATTACATTTATGCCATTTAAATTTAAATTTAAACAAAAATAATAGCAAAGCAGAAACCTGTTGGATCTCCTTCTTTCCCTTCTCCCTTTCGTTTCTCGATTGTTCTCTATCCCATTGTTTATTAAAAAAAAAAAAAAAAAAAAAAAAAGGGTTTCTTTGCTCTCTCTCTTTTGTGGGCAAAAACCCCAAATTATGGGTTATAAACGCGTTACCGCATAAAACTACTAACCCTGCCTGAACGACGACGTTTCGCCATTAATTACATTTATTTGCCAGTTTAAATTTAAATTTAAACAAAAATTAATAGCCAAAGCAGAAACCTGTTGGATTCTCCTTCTATTCCCTTCTCCCTTTCGTTTCTCGATTATTTCTCTATCCATTGTTTATTTAATAAAAAAAAAAAAAAAAAAAAAAAAACAGAGGATATTTTTGATGTACAGAAATTTTGAAAAAAAAAAAAAAAAAAAAAAAAACAGAGATATTTGATGTACAGAAATTTTTGTGATTGAAGGTTTTTTTGCAATTGTTCTCTATCCCACTTCTCATATTTGTTTCGATATAAGGTTTCTCTTTCTGCTCTACACTCAGGTATGCGATTTCAATTTCTCTTTTCCTTCTGTATTGAAATTGATATCTTAATTTTGTGGTTGATTCAATTGTTCTTGGTTCTATTAAGTGTTATAGATGATTTAGGGTTTTGTTTAGATTCTATTGTGTAATTATCTCCTCAAGACATTGAAAAATAAGAACATAACCAAAATTTTTACTTCTCGGGCGGATACTGGAAGTAGAAAAAGTCGAAATAGTTGAATGTGGTCTGAATATTTTGTTTTCCATGTAAGTTTTGTCCCAAAATATTTTAGCTAATTTATTTATTTGTTTTTGCTTTTGAATATTTTCTTTGTTGAATTAATTGGACTTTTGAGACTGATAGAGTGTTTTATTTCAGCTTACTTGTTCTTGAGATTGCTTAAAGTTATTAATTGGGTCCTTTGTTTTTGATGCATTCTTAATTTTATCTCTCACAGTTCCAACTACAAATAAGTACTACTAAACCATTTTTCCAGTCTCTTTGTCACTGCAACTTTTTAATCCTAACAACAGTAACAATAATGTGGCAATGCATGCAACTCAGTTAAATTATAGCTATATATTTTAAATGTCTTTCTATCCACTGTTTATTATTATTTTTAATGTCTTGCAGAGACGAGTTGATTGATTGAGCTTTTGCGCAATAAGTTTAGATTTGGACTGACATTTTCTTTTTGGTATTGGTTCAAAAGCAACAATGAGGCTTCTACCCATGATTTGAAAGCTAAAAATTCTGCTTATTTAAATTAATTAATTAAAAATAACTAAAGCATAGCATTTTCCATGAATGATTAATTTGTTTATATTTTGGAACTCTTCTTTATTGCCAACTCAAGCAGTCTCTGCCAACAATATATATCATTGTCAACTACTTTTCCTTTAAAGGTTTTTTTGACATGGAGAGCAAAAAAAGGATTTGCTAACAGTTCCTTGGGTGCCTTTCCTAGATATTTAGCGTTAGAAATAAATCATAAGGGCTACATCTATTAATTAGTAATATTGAAACCATCAATTAGTAATATTGAAACCCTGATCCCATATTATCTTCATACTTTCACCTATTTAATGGGGCCACCCTTCATTTAAGAATGTTGTCATTTTGATTGGTGTCTTCGAGAAGGAAATTTTACTGAAAAGAGACTTCTAATTGTTTTTGTGATATAAAGTATGACAAATGATGAATGACCTACATAGACTTTGATTACATTGATTATCTTAATCAATCTCAGTGCACATTAAAATGGAGACTTTTGGTGAATGATATAAATATAGTTGCATGTTAACTTTAATAGTGATGAATGTTGATTGTCAAGAGCCTTTTGATTTATATGTGAACAAAATTTAAACAAGAAAATCTAGGATTAAGGACTTTGAACCTTAATTATCTACTAATCTTTTTTTTTTTTTTTTTTTTTTTAAGGACTTTGAACGCCTTAATTATCTTACTAATTCTTTTTTTTTTTTTTTTTTTTTTTTATTAAAAAAGAGCTTGTGGTCAAAAACATTATAAAGTGGTTTTTAGTTGTTGATAAAAAATTTTAATGAAGGAATTTTTTTAATTATAATTTTGTGTTAGCTCGGATTTTATTATTTTAGGATAGAATCTGAAATTAGAATACCTATTGGATACTGAAAACAATTTGCAAGTTAAATTCTATACAAATTGTAACATAGCTATTTCTTAATAAAAAGGTAGTTTGGCAATTTTATCAGTGTAATATTTCTAAGTATTTTGTAAAATTTTTACTATTTTCATTACAAAATGTTGGTTTGTTATTTTATAGTTGGAAGCCTAGGACTTGACCAATAGTTGTAGTACAATTTTATAAAAAATTTATACACTTTTTTTTTTTTTTTTTTTTTTTAAAAAAAGAGCTTGTGGTCAAAAACATTATAAAGGTGGTTTTAGTTGTGATAAAAAATTTTAATGAGGAATTTTTTAATTATAATTTTTGTGTAGCTCATTTTATATTTTAGGATGAATCTGAATTAGAATATATGATACTGAAACAATTGCAAGTAAATCTATACAAATTGTAACATAGCTATTTCTAATAAAAAGATTGGCAATTTTTTCAGTGTATATTTCTTAGTATTTGTAAATTTTACTATTTTCATTACAAAATGTTGGTTGTTATTTTATATGTGGAAGCTGACTTGACCAATAGTTGTAGTAAATTTATAAAAATTTATACACAAATACAAATTCTTCACCTGTAAATGAATATTTTGTTGTCAAAATGAATTTAATATTATTCATTCACTCTAAAGGAACTTTTACCATTTCTTTCAATCAATACCCAGAGAATATGTTGCAAGTTGCCATCCTATAATAATTTCATATCAACTTAATTTGAAATGAATCCTAAGATTAGGAACTTTTCGCAGTTGCACTTAAAAATAAATAAATAAAACAGTAGAAAAATAGCTTTTGATTTTAACTGGTAAAAATAGTTTATAATTTTCAAGAAAAGTTTGAAATCTTTCAATTTTTTAACAAGTATATCGTTTTACGTGACTGTTCTTGAAAATTGTGCAGGGTAGTTAAGGATGTTCAATTAGATGGTGACTTCATCTCCAGCATAAAGTGGTTAGACGTTAGATGCAATAATTGTTGCCTCATCTAAGCCAGGCTTGTGATGTTCATGCATTTCAGTGAGAACGCTGTTGCATATTTATTTCAGTGAGTCTTCTTGAAACAATTTGTAAAAGGATGCGTACAACTCTGTAAGTACAAATCTAAACATAAACACGGATTCTGAGAGACTGAATGAGACTTTCACAACTTATCAAGTCCTAACATTGGCTTCCCTTTGTCCTTTTACAGGGGGAGGGTTCCTTTGGGGTCAATAGCAGACTTGTGTTGCAAATCAATATTGCTTAAACATGTATGTATTTTTTATTCTTGTTCTCTGCTGGGAAACTTGAAGTAGGACATGTTAGAACTGGTTTACAACTGCTTTTTTTGGTGGGATAATTGCAAGTCATTTATAATTTTTAGTTTAGAGTCTGAATTAGAGCTGATTAGAGTGAGAAAATAAAAGAAATTGCTGGTTGTTTTGAAGCTGTGAACAGTACCCGCGGCACTGTAGCAACAGAAGAAGGAAGAAACAGTAGCTAGGATAAAGAAAATGGGCATGCAACTAGCCTTCCAGTCCAAATCAAATGCTTTATAATTATGATTCCATTGTCAATAACCTAATAGAGATCAAATAGTTAAAACCTATTCCTACTAGAACTAGGAATCCCAAACTAGGAAAATATTAAACCTATCCTACATAGGATAGAAAGCAAACAACTAAGTATTTCTATAAAATTCCTTAAATATAACTGAATGCTGAAATTTTAAGTAGAAAAAGTTTGTAATACAAATCTAAATTTCATATTAGAATTAAATCAAAATTATCCCAGCATCTGATTTTTCTGGATCCCTTCAAAATGGCTATATGGTCACTGACAATGTTCTTTACTGCTTCACAACTATTTGGACACAGGGGGAAATAAATGCAACAGTCAAATTGAGATTTTGTCGAAGTATTGCCACTTCACTCGGTAATTGCAAATTTTTCTAATTGGGATGTACGTTTCTGATTGATTCCTATTAAAAGCACAGAATAATTTTAATATGCAACTGTTTCTGTTTGAATATAAATTGATTGAGAACTTGAAATTTGAAAATATTGCTTAGAGGCGAAAGAGATTTTGTCAGCATCTACTTGTATGCATGTTTAGTATTTTTGTGGATTTGAACATGTTTAAGGTAAATAACTAAATAATATATATGAATATATTTGGACATATACTTTACTAAGCACGTTTCAACTCAAAGCCTTCGTTCCATTTTCATGCTGTTTGAGGTTAGCAATAGGACCTTTCACCAATCATTTTTTAATGGGCTTTGATTCATATATCATTACTTTTGCTATCTTGAATTGAACAAATGTCTAACCGTGGATAGTTATCACTGTGTCTGAATGTACTCATTTGTGCAAACGTGCTCTCAAATGCTTAAAGAAAGATTAGACAATATGTGAATTGATTTTAAATCATATTTAGTGGCAAAAGTTGTTGAATGCAGCCAATATTTTTCTGAAGCATGGAGAAAAATCAACTGGAAAATCCATTCAGAAGCAAATTGTTGATGCCCTTTACCTGGGTGAGAGAGGCAGAGCGTCCCATCTGCTTTTAGATCTCAGCCATGCAAACAACTCATTAAGAGCTAATGACTTTGCTGATATTCTCAAGTATTGTGCAAGATCACCTGACCCGTTGGTAAGATAAGCAACTAGGCAAATTTTTCTGTTTCACCTGTATTTCTTTTTCTACTTTTTTTTTTTTTCCATTTATGCTATCTAGATTTAAGAAATGATTCTCAATTTATTGCATTGTAACATGTGTATTTCAATTAAACTATATTTAAGAACTGACCTTGTTTTGTTTTTAATTTTTTTAGCCACTTTGTCTTATGTTATTAGGGATCTTGAACAGAAAGCTAGAAAAAAACATGAGAACCAAATTAGTCCTCATGCATTTAGTAATATGTACGACATCCTGTATCAGTATGTTGTCTGTCATTAACATCTTGTTATGGATATATTAATCGGATGGTGTTATGCCTTGTTGCCATGCTTATGAAGATTTTAAAGAATAACATGCTAAAATAAAAAGTGCAAGATCAATAACATTGCATAAGCGGTGAGTTGGATGGAGTTCATCCAAGAATGCACCAAACTGTGAAAAATTGTATACGGGTTTGCACCCTGTTCTAGGCCCATATTGCTCTATCAACCTAAATGAAAAGAGCTAATTTGATGTTAGTCATTTGGAAGGGTCCTTTTTGGCAGCAACAGTTACAACAGTTGTTTGCTTTTGGTGCAGTTTGCGATGGAGACTTGGAGAATAATGCGGGAAAAGGGGATTGGCCTCAATAACCGATCCTGCCTCTTTATGATGCAAGCTCTATGCAAAGGGGGTTATATGGAGGAGGTAAATGCATATTGCTTTACCCTATGCAAGAATTTTCAATGCCCTTTTTGTGATGATGCATTGGGATCAACACCATTATTGTATTTGGCCCACATCTTTGTTTAGTTTACAACTTTTAATTAATAATTATGGAAGTTGGAAATATTTTCTCACTTTACTCTACATTGTTGAGAGAGGAAGTTTGGTGTAGCGGTAAATTTACTTCACTTGTGACCTAGAGGTTATGGGTGGTTTGAGCCACAAAAACAACCTCTCTACGAAAGTAGGGGAAAGCTGCATACATCACCTTCTACAGAGCCCACAAATGTGGGATGCTTCGTGCATTGGTTCGCTCTTTTTTTATTCTAATTCTATATTTGACTTTATGCTAAGGATTTTTGTGTCTTCCTTGTGCTTTTTTTTTAGGCATATGATCTAATTCATTTTCTCAGAGAAAAAAGTGGCATGAATCCTAGTCTTGCTATGTGTAATAGTTTCTTGGAAGCTTGCTCAGAAATCTACAGCATAACTCATGCCAATCGATGTTTAGATTTGATGGAGCGTAGAATGTTGGGGAAGAATGAAGATACATATACAGCGCTTCTCAAGGTTTGTAAAGTGCATTGTACAAGTTTGACGGTTTTATGCTGAAAGGCATGAGTAGAAGCAATTTGGCTCAGATTCCCCACCTTCCTTTTCCAAGAATCCCAGAAGATTACATGAATAAAAATTAAAATGAAGATAATTTGCAGTCAAGTGTAGTTTGCTTGTTATTTTGCTCCAACTGACCTGTATTTGTAAAGTATTGAGATTACATTTTAAGTTAAGGCAAGCCAAGTTCATTAAATGGTTGTTCTGAATTTTCCCCTTCTCTTGCAGCTTGCTGTTATTCAGCGAAACCTGTCTGCAGTCCATGAGATTTGGAAGGACTATATCAAATACTATAGTCCAAGTATTTTGTCTTTGCAACAGTTTGTTCTGTCCTTTGTAAGTTTGAGAGATACAAATTCTGCATGCCAAATGTTGCAACATATGGTGGATTTAGTCCTTCGAGGAAACATATTTATTGAGAGCACTGCTTATGGAAAGTTGTATTCTTCAAGATTGGACATTCCTATACCTTCTAAAGATGAGTTGGGTTTGCAGAGATTTTACTTGAAGGAGATTAATGAACTGTCTGTTCCTTCAAGAGTAGATGCCTATGCTAGCGGCATAGAGTGCAGCACTATTTCTAATACTGGAAAAAAAATTGAGTTTGTTGGAACAGTTGCATTGAAAAACATTGAAAGCATACCTGCTATCAAGGTTCTGAGGTCATCTTTTGGGAATGTAATGCATGCATGCGCAAAAGAGGAAAATTTTAGGATAGCAGAACAGTTAATGCTTCAGGTCAGACATTTATTTTTTATCAGCTTCGTTATCTTTCTACGTGGTAGTTTGTGCAAGGATATATTTTCTTTTATACTTCATTGTATTTAGTTTAGTTATACATTTATTTGAAAACAGAAGAGAAGAGTCATGTACTAGAACTGAACTTGGTCATGCTGGATTCTTCAATTCTAACTCTCATCACATTCAAAACAACTAAACATAACAATATTTTGGGCCAGTTTCTATATTTGCTAAAAATCATGTCATGCACTTCAGAAACATTTGTTGACGTATCTGACAGCTCCTATGTAGTTTGTCCATTTTTCTGTTTAGTTAAGATTGTCAGTTTAAGTTATATTATTTCTAATATGATTACCATAATCGTCTCATTTTTTTGTGCTACTTCGTTGTTTTTGTTCTTTTTCTCTATATCTTCTCCTTCTTCTAAATCTTTTGTATGACCAAGTTTTTCAGAGTGTAATTCTGTACACTTTCTATTAATGTTATGTTATCATGTAGATGCAAAATCTTGGGTTGCAACCTTCAGAAGGTACATATTGCAACTTTATTAGAGCTATTATTTCTGAGAGAGGTACAAGTGAAGGCATGGAAGTGGTACATTTTTTCTTTTCATTAGGTGGTTATTTCGTTATCTTAGAACTCTATTCCCATTCCAAGAACAGATTGGGCATTCATGTTCTGCTTGGATGAGTGATTGTATGTTTCACGTTTTCTACAGCTAAAAATAATGCAACAGAAGAAATTGAGGCCAAAATGTAAAACTCTTGCTGTCCTTTCAATGGCTTGCTGTAAAGAGTTGGAACTAGATTTGGCAGAGGCTTTATTGGATCAAATTTCTAATTACCAAGATCCACGTCCTTATAATTTTTTTTTTAGAGCATGTGACGCTATGGTGAGTTATTTTCCTTCAGCTTGATGGTTCACAATATGTTGGTTTCTTCATTTTCCTTTTTTTTTTTTTATACTCGAATATGACGTTACTCAAAAAAAAAAGAGAGGAATATCCTCACATAAGAAAGAGAAAAGGATTAATCTTTCCACTTCAGTCAACAGAATTTCTATATTGAATTGAAGAGTCGTTGATTGGTGATTGCAAACAATCTGACCATGCAATCTTGGTTGAGTGCGTCACAACATATGGAGCAATTGTCTGTACTATGAAAGAGCAGTGAAATTGATATCTGTCATAAAATCTACTAGTTTTATGTAACTTGTAATTTTCTAGAGGATTATTTGTTTCATAATTCAATTGAAGCTTATGGGTACTGATTTGACTATTCTAATAAGCAGTAGAAATTGTTGATTGCTGATTGTGCAGGATAAACCAGAGCGTGCTGTTCGGATTTTGGCTAAAATGAAACAATTAAAAGTCAAGCCAAATAGCTGGACATATGCACATTTGTTTTCATTATTTGGTAATGTGAATGCTCCATATGAAGATGGCAATATGTTGTCACAAGTAGACTCTGCTAAAAGAATAAATGCTATAGAGATGGATATGGAAAAAAATGGTGTTCAGCACAGTCAGTTATCAATAAAATTTTTGGTAACTTCCCACCTCATGTTTTTTCTTTTTCCCCTTCTATATAGGCATTGACCAAAATTACTGACTTCATGGAGTATTAATATTAGTTTAGCATCACTTTGGCTGTGAAAATGAATGTTATCCACTATGAAATTATAGGAACTAATAAATCATGAATTTTTGTTTCATAAAAAACTAGTGGATTTTCTTGTCTAGAACCTTCTCACTTACGAAGTTCCTGTATGCTGCTTTTGGAGACAACCATCTTGATGCAAGTAACAAAAGCAAGTTACGAGTGGTTGAATAACATGTAAATTGTGAATGTGATAGTTTGGTGACAATATTGTCATCTTTGGGCGATAAATCTAGAGACTACTTATAATTGCATTATTTCCATTTGACATATGACCTAAGGCTATACTATGTAAACCTTTAACTTTTTTACTTCACTTATGGTATTGGTACTTAATCCCTTTTTTTTTTAATCTTCAGCTGAGAGCTCTTAGTGCAGAGGGGATGATAAGAGAGCTCATCCAGTATTTACACATGGCAGAAGACCTTTTTTCTCGCCGTAACATTTCTTTGGGAACACCTATCTACAATATAGTGTTGCATTCACTTGTGGAGGCTAAGGACGTAAGTGATTTTTCCTTGTGTCTTATCTATTATCCTGTTTTTTGCCTAATCATATGTCTGGTTGACATGCAGAGTCGGTCAGCAATTAAAATATTCAAAAAGATGAAATCAAGTGGTTTCGATTTAAATTATGCAACTTATACTACAATGATTGATTGTTGTAGTATCATAAGATGTTATAAATCTGCTTGTGCTCTAGTTTCCATGATGGTGCATGATGGATTTTATCCGAATACAGCTGCATATACTGCTCTCATAAAGGTATTTAAATTTATTCAGCGCGATATTTGCCATGTAAAATTTTATACATCTAATTCTTGCTGCTATTACATAGATGCAACAAACATGGAAATATTTCCTGCAGTTTTAATGTTTCTGCTTGTTATATGCCTGAACAATTTCAGTTTTTTGCCTAACAAATCTTGATATTTCCAATTAATTGGCTATAATTCTGCTAGTGGACTTTACTTCACTGTTACTCTCTCACATCATCCTCTTTTCTTTTGCTCTTATATCATTTATGTATTTTTCATTGTTAGCAAAAGAAAATATTTCAGTACAAAAATATATAGGTTTTACCCTTGCTTCTTCCCATTTAGTTGCAGATCCAGAGATTTTGCAAAGTGAAGTTCGTATAGTTTGTATTAAATTATAAAAATATAAAATAACAAAGTAATATAAATAAAAATTTTAGTACATAATACGCATGCATGATTGAATAAATTATAATTGTTTTCTACGCATTTTCATATCTTGAAAAATAATACGTATCCCTGCATCACTAACATTGTCAAATGCATATTTCTCAATATGCTTATCTAAATAGTCATTTAACCATTAACCACCAATTTTAACTAATGAAATCCCGTTTACATGGGCATATATTATAATTTTTAGTAAAAGTGGGATTCGTAGATTATTGATGTGGTTCCAATTAAATTTTCAAAGGAGGTTCCAAAGCCTTTAAATATATATACCCCTTAAAAATTTTAGTTACCAGGTGGGTTCCAAGGATCCCACTTTGCCTAAGGTGTGTGCACCTCTGTTTCCATCCCTCTTTCTCTTCTCTCTTTCTTTGCATTTCTTCCATTTTCCTAGTGTTCCTCTGTAGAAATTGACTGGAATCATTTCTCACTGCTTTCTTATTTTCTGCCAGGTTGTCTTGGAAGATGATAACTTCGACGAAGCGTTGAATCTTTTAGATCATGCGAGGTCAGGCGGTGTTAAACCAGATGTATTGTCGTATAATACTGTTCTTAGAAAAGCATATTTAAAGGTATCTCATATGCCCGACCCTTTATCTTCCTCTCTCCTCACTCTCACTCTCACTAAACGAGTTTTTCTCATAATTGGAATGAAATCTAGAGAAGGATTGATATTATTGAGCATATTGTTGAGCTGATGCACCGTGAAAAAATCAAGCCTGATGGGGCAACCTGCAATTTTGTGTTCTGTACATACGTGGAGTGTGATTTTCATAACACAGCGATAGAAGCATTGCAAGTTTTGAGTTTGCGTATGATTTGTGAAGATGACAATTCTTTTCAAGAAAAGAAAGAAGAATTCGAGAATAATTTCATCCTTTCTGACGACCAAGATGTTGAGTCACGAATACTTGAGATGTTTGGAGGTCATCAGGAGACTACTGCTGTTGCCCTCTTGCATTTAAGATGGTCTGCCATTCTTAGGTTCCCAATTTGTTGGTCACCAAATGAAACTCTATGGGCAAGGAGACTTTCAGTTAACTATGATGCTAGAAAGAGTATTGTGTGATAGATATTTGTTGGTTATCGTTGATGAAGTTACATTATAAGAAAGGGGGACAAAGATTTGCCTGAAGGTCCTGGATTCGAGCCCAGGACTTGCGGTTTTTGCCTCATTTGCCTTCTTTTGAATTTGGCGTACAAGAGTTTGCCCCTTAATTTACACTTCTAGCTTCACTCCTGGCTACTGTTCTTTTTGTTCAACTAAATCATGGTGATGGTGAGGGCTGCAATTTTTTATGGGCAGTGATTTTTGGTTGCTTGTTATTTAATAATGTGTTGGGGGTCTATGTTGGTGGTGAGAGCTGCAATGATTCACAGCTTAATTGGAGTTTGGTTTGATTATTTCTTTGCAGCTTGAGCTGTCGGTGGTAGTTACATGGCAGCAAATTTCAACAGTGTCCATTAATATCGGATGTATTTTTACAGTCTAGCTGGACAATAATGAAATTTTGGTATTTTACCTGAAAAATAACAAATGTTAGATTGGAGCCAAGAATATTATTATTATATATATATACAGATATTTGTTTGGGTTATCGTTGATTGAAGTTACATTATATTTAAGAAAGGGGGACAAAGATTTGCCTGGAAGGTCCTGGATTCGAGCCCAGGGACTGCGGTTTTTGCCTCATTTGCCTTTCTTTCTGAATTTGGGCGTACCAAGAGATTTGCCCTTATTTACACTTCTAGGCTTCACCTCCTGGCTACTGCTCTTTTGTCAACTAAATCATTTGGGATGGTGAGGGCAGGTTGCAATTTTTTATGGGCAAGTGATTTTGGTTTGCTTGTTATTTAATAATGTGTTGAGGGGGTCTTTATGTTGGTGGTTTGAGCAGCTGCAATGATTTTCACAGCTTAATTGAGTTTTGGTTTGATTATTTCTTTTGCAGCTTTGCAGGCTGTCTGGTGGCTAGTTACATGGCAGCAAACTTTCAACAGTGTCCATTTAATTATCGGATGTATTTTTACAGTCTAAGCTGGAATAATTGAAATTTTTGGTTATTTTTTACCTGAAAAATAACAAATGTTAAGATTGGAGCCAAGAAATTAATTATTATTATATATACGTATACATTATATATATATATATATATATTTATTATTTTTTTTTTTTTTTTTTTTTTGCATCAGTGTCAGGACTAATTTTATCTATTATTGGTATTTTTCTTTTTCTGAAAGGAGAGATTTATTTTATATAAAATTAGTTCAGCAACATATTATAAGTTTTTGAAGGAAATCGGAATTATTAAATAAATTATTAATCCAGTAACTTAAATTTGTTTCTAATTGTTTTTCTTTTATTATTGTTAAAATGGTATTATCATTTTAAATAAAATCATCAAATTTATCATATTTCTAATGTACGCATCTAAGAATGGGCCACTTTAGTTATTATTTTGTCTTCTTTTTTTTTTTTTTTTTTTTTTTTTTTTTTTTTTTTTTTTTTGTTTGTTCGCTTATTCATCGCTGAAAAAAACATCCTATTTTACTTTTTGCATCATTACTATTGTTGTCTTTTTCTTATTACTAATTCTTTAAATGGAAAATATCTATAAATTTTTTATTTGCACTCTAATTGATTTTTTTTTTTTTTTTTTTTTTTTTTTTTTTTTTTTCCTTTTCAAGTGAAAAAAACATCTATTTTCTTATTTGCATCAACTATTGTTGTCTTTTTCTTATTACTATTCTTTTAAATGGAAAATATCTATAATTTTTATTTGCATCAATTGATACTATTAGACATGCAAATATGATGGGAAAAAAAAAAGTTCAATGCCATTTCAAATAAATAAAACAAAGGGAAGAATAATTGGTACCTGAATTATAGTTAAGTTAACACATAAGAACTTTAATTTTTAAAAATTAATTATTAAATTTTTAATTTATCAGTTCATTAACATGTTGGTCCTTTCATTTAAAATAATATATTTTAACTGTCGATTAACTTAAAATTGATTTCTAAATTGAATTAAACTAATTATGAGATTCTTAATTTATAATTTCTGTTAATATGTTGATTATTCTCTACGATTTTCATTAATACTCTGATACTTTTATTTTGGATTAAAAAATTAAAATTTTAACAAACTCATAGTTATTTTTTAAAAAATAAAGATTTTTATATGTTAATTTGATTTGACTTGGATTAATTTATTTTTTTTCCCTAAAAAAAATGAAAAACTTTGGTCAAAGAAATAGGTAAAATAAGGGGCAACCAATGAGGGATGGGAGAGAAATGAGAACGGTGGCAGACTAACACGATCTCCAAATGAATTTACAAATACGCAATGCATAATTGCCGTTGCGAACGGACCATCCGTCGCACTCCGTAAACTAACAATCCTCTCTTTCACTGCTTATTCTTCTGTTCATCGTTTCAGATCTCAATTACCAAACCCTCCCTTTTATTTTTCTTTTTCAAAATTCTTTGATTCAAATATCTTAATTTTCATCGTTTTTAAAGAGGAAGAGGACGGGGAAGAGGAGAGACTCATAGCCAATGGAGGTGCCTAGCTCATGGGACGCTCTACGCAAACAGGTTCCTATATAATATATTTTCTATTATTTCATTGAATTTTCCATCGTTTTCTGTTTGGCTGCTGAGATTCCAATAAAGATTTCTTTTTCGATTCATCCCTGGAGTTTATGGTAATCAACGTGATGTTTAGATTTTTTTAAAAAAATTTCTTTTGGTGTCGGTTGGAGAAGTCAGTGCAAATGATTTTGAGAATAGGAGGGAAGATTGAGAAAAAATTAATATCTTTGGGAGAATCAGTTCTTTTTATATTTTGACTTAAAAAGTATATATTACGAGGTGTGAATTGTGATGGTAGACCAAACAATGTAAAGGAATGATTTTATAATTATGAAGTCCAGAAGCAAATGTGTAAGAATTTGGAGTTTGTATAATTGCAATCAAAGATTGAATTAGAGCAGTGATTTGGACCAGTGTAGGATTTTAATCTTTACTTCTGGATGGTTTTGCACATTGGTTGGTTCTTTGCCTAGGATTATTTGTTAGAATAGTCATGACAAAAGTTATAGTTTCTAGGATACAAGTGTAATGTGAAGAATATTGGATGAATTTAATCCAACGGTATAAGTTTATTGCACTGTGGTGAAATTCTTGGATGGTTTTAGTTGACCTGTACTTGATCCTTACCCCCATGTAACTCATCTTCATGAATGGTTGAAGTGACCATGGGCCAATGGCTGCACCCACCCACAGATAACAGGTATGCCAAGAACTTCTTTTAGGGGACTAGGGATTCCTTCTTTTGACTGTCTTAGGTTTCAGGGACCTTGGAGATCCTACATGGATAGCTATAACTTCTCATTGAAAATTGAAACACGTGTTAGATGCTTGAATATGAACTATGAACCTGACTGCAGTTGACTGGTTCATTGGCTTTTTGTCAACATGAAGGAAATAATGTAATACTGGCATGAACCTACTTCATTAAGGAATTGAAAAATTCTCTTAGATCTGCAACATGGTATACATTTCCTAATTAAGCTCTGTTTCATATTTGGGCAGAAGTGTGTCTACCTAGTACCTATTTGCTTACTAATGCCTTTGCTATGTCTTAAAACATTTAGTTGTAATGGTTGGTTTGCAATTTTTTTCATACAATCTCTTGGTTTAGGATAACTAGGAACTCTAGCTCATAAAAGTAAATTAATGGTGGAATTGGAAGGTGTGTTAAAAGGGAAAAGGTAAGACTGAGGATGATCTAGGAGCATCCAAGTTAATATTGTAAGTTTTTTAGTTTTCCCTCTTTAATTAAGATCCCTATGTAGCATGTTAATCAATAGGAAACATTTAGTTTTCCTTCTTTATTTAGGATTCCTATTTAATAGATTTTTTAGCTAATTAGAAATACTTGTCAATGTAGAATTAAGATTTGTCCTAACTAGTATAAATAGGTCAACCATAGTCTATATATTGTATTTTCTCTATTAAGAATTTTAATTCTTAAGTTTATTTAAAACCAATCATTTTATATTGTTCCAACCACAGTCATCCTATTCTAGTGATAATTGTTGAAAATTAATTGTCCTAGATTCTTTCGCTACGTCAAGTGGTATTAGAACACAAAAATGTGATCCAGAGGATATTGGGATTGATGAACAAGTCAAAACATGAACCTTTTTCATGGAGTTGGACTTGTAAACAAAGTGGCACGAGGTGGATTAGAATAGCAGTCACTCCACACTCTTGATTCAAATTGTGGTGGAATGAAGATTAGAATAGCCAATTTTTATGTAAAGTTATACAAGGAGGATTGTTGAAGTGGGGGAAGAACAACATCAATAGATGTTGATGACCCAAAGGAGTGTGAAATGGAAAATACAAAAAAAAAATATATATTCCATGCAAATTTTTTTATATTTACTAGTTTCACCCTATGTGTATGGAAAACCTTATCATTCATCAAAATCGGTTGGAGAATAAAATTCTAATTGTCCACTAGCCGTTTTCGAGAGTTTCTGTATTTTAGACTATCAGTCGCCTAAAGCCAGATCCAGCTGCGGCCTCAAAGTGGTAATTTTAGAACAACTCAAAAAATAGCTAGGTGTAATAGCGCAAAAAAAGGAAAGAGTGTAAAATATTAATAGCGGAAGAGTTCTAAAGGAGATTTGAGAAACAAAAAGTAATCCACACTACTGAGACATATGAAATCCAGCTTGAGTTCTGAATTGATTAAACCGAATTATGGAGTTGGACTGTTACTAGTGGCAGTGGTGAATATGACTAACGGAAAGAGTAGATGTTAGCACATGATATCCATGCGTGCGTATTGGAAAAAGGAAGAAAAGAGTTAATGCCAGTAATTCTAAAATAACAACACCTATAGCATTCCCTCCCACAAACCTCCTTGGAGAACTTAGCGACAATTTGTGGGTGGAATGTAAAGAGATCTAGACACTTTCAAAGCCAAAAGAAAAACAATTTAAATAGTAAAGTTATACAAAGGAGATTGGATTGTAACAATGTGGGAAAGAAGGAAAAGAAGGAAGTTATATCAACATCGAAAATTTACGAAATGTTGATAGCCTACCAGTATACCGATGTGTGATGGAGAAAAAAATGTACACTTTCACAATAAAAAAAAATATATTATACGTATACTATATACAATATATAAAAAATTATAACTATTAGTCAGCTCATTAATCTGTATGTTGGTTTTTAACAAATGCTTGAATGTGAAAACATGTTGAGAGCAATGCCAACAAAAGGCCATTATAGGAACCTACACCAGTGAATATGTGAATACTCTTCTTATGTCATTACTCCAATCTACCTAAGAATATAAAGGCACGCGAATAGAGCAGAAATATCAAATTTGACTAATACTCACTGTAACCATATTTTCATTAAAGGAAGAAAGCATTTGTTAGAGAGCAATAAAAATCACATAGAGAGTGTTCACTTAGATTACTGCTACCTTCATAAAGATGATTAAAGTTCTACAATGGAGAGTAATAAATGTGTATTTTGTGAGGGTGACAGAAAACAAGAACGTATAAAAAAGGCAGCATTAATGAATATGTTCATTTCAAGACGTGGCTTCTGAGAATTAAGAACGAACTAAAAAAGTACGTATTGCTATATGGTGGGATACTTTGGAACAATGCTGGGAATCTACGCATTTGAAAGAGCAGAGGGTATGCGCCAAGTTTATGTAATTTCGTTTAACTTCTTTCTCTTTTTTTACAATAGAAGATCGTTCTTAATTTCACCAATCGCCAACTAATCTCATTCCTAATTAAGCACAACTTCTAAGCCTAAAAATATCTCCAGATTAGAAAATAGAATAGTTGATAAACATTCAATGTAAATGCCGATTATGTGAACTCCAATGATAGTTGTGAGAATAAATTGAAGCTAGATATTCTTCATACAGATAACATTTAATACTCTCAAGAAAAAAATGAAAAGAAACGAGCTTCATGGCACACGTATATTTGAGTGGAAAAATACGATACATATCATTGTTCACGAATGTCGAAGAAAGTCAGGAGTTTGAATTGAATGGCTTGCTGAATAGTTGATTTGCTCCTTGCAGGGAAACCGCCATAAAGTACTTAGGGTACATAGCTATCAGAGAAAATTTACACGTGTAACTGATTATATGGTCAACCTCTGGGTCAGTTATTGGCCCTTTGGAAATCACTCGTCAAACTCATTACTCCATCGGATGCCGAGATTGTTTTCCTGACCCGAGGCGAGAACTATGGTAGGCGAGACAGTCCAAATGTAATTTATGAAGAGTCAAAAGCTTTGTAGTCCGAATGTTCTCTTCTCTTTAATTAAGAAGATATATATATATTGTTTAAATGTTGAAAACAGTGAAGGAAGCAACAAGGGCCTTATGGAACCAATCTATAATGAGGTAGAGCAAGAAATTGACCTAGTACCTATTCAAGGAGAAAGTATTGTTATTCAAAAGGTTCTTACTACCTCTAAGATATAACAAGAAGATTGGTATTTTGAAGGTGAGAAAACAAAGGAAGATCATTGTTCTTCGAAAAAGTAGTTGCTTGTGGATATTGATAGCATCGAGTAGCCAATAGAATTCTCAACAATAAGAGATGTCTATCATGCAACTAATCTCATTCCTAATGCAACTTTAGCTAACCGATTAGGTGAGTTGATCCAAGTAGCCCATGAAGTTGAAATGCATTTTCAATCAACATACCTAAATGATAGAAGGCTTGTGCAAATAAGTGGAACTCATTGTGTTGAGAAGGATGGATTGAATGGCTTGTGATGTTGTTTGCTCTTGCAGAAGCCCTAAGTACTTGGTATGCTAAGATGAAATTTACACTTATTAATCCTACTCTTATGGCTGATATGTCAAAACTCTACTCATCGGAGCCGAGTTGTTTTCTGACCCGAGGAGAATGATGTAGGGACATCCAAATTAATTTAGGAAGCTTTGTAGTTTTCTTCTTTAATTAAGATTCCTATATAGTATGTTAATTAGGAAACATTCAGTTTTCCTTCTTTGTTTAGGATTCCTATTTAAGACTATTTACTAATTAGAAATACTTTTAAGTATAGAATTAGTATTTGTCCTAACTAGTATAAATAGGACAACCATAGTCAGTTTATGTATTGTATTTTTGTCTGTTAATTCAGAATTTTAATTTTATGGTTTTATTTAAAACCAATCATTTTATATTTTTCCAACCACAATTGCCCTATTGTAGACCAAATTGTTGAAAACTAATTGCCGTAAATTCTTCCCGCTATGTCATGAGGTCATATGGACAAAAGTTGTCTCAAAAGATTTACTGCTTCTTGGCATTAATGTGGACTTAGTTATGAACGAAGCGGAATGGAAATAAAGGACTTACATAGCCTTCAAGCTTTGTTGTTGATGTTGCTGCTCTTTTATTGCAAATTGAAAAATGTCTTAGATGCTTGATATGGATTATGAACCTGATTGCAGATAACTGTTTATGTGGCTTCAATTTTGGCAACAAAAAGCAAAGAATGTCATACTGGCAGGAACATACTTCACTAAGCAATTGAAAATTTCTCTTAGATCTGTGCAATTCAATGTTCATATTAAGCTCTGTTTCATATTTGGGCAGAACTGTTTGTACCCATTACCTATGTGATAATTAATGCCTACTCTGTCCTAAAACATTGAGCTATGGTGTTTGGTTTGCAGAATTTCTTCATATGATCTCTTGGTTTAGTATAACTAGAAACAATAGCCAATTGATGGTGGAAGGTTTTAATAGGGGAAGAGGTAGACCTAGGATTATATGGAAGGAAGTTGTCTCAAAAGAAGTACTACTGTATTGACTTAGTTATGAACAAAGCCAAATGGAAACAAAGGATTCATATAGTTGACAACTAGTTTGGGATTAAGGCTTTATTGTTGTTGTTGTTTTCTATGTTTACTCTTGCTTAGACCTAGTAAATAATTGGCTAAGCTGTGATTACAGGCAAGGAAACTTGAAGCTCAGTTGGATGAGCAGATGAATTCATACCGTAAACTGGTTTCTGCAAAGGCTTCTACAAAAATTGATGCTGCAGAGGACAATCTAGAATCTGGGATAGACCGACTGCTAAAGCAGCTCCAACAAGTGAATTCACAGATGCAAGCTTGGGTGTCATCTGGAGGATCAGAAATGGTTTCTCATACCTTGACTCGACATCAAGAAATTCTTCAAGATCTTACTCAGGTATTATGGCTTGAAAGTGTAGTTTGGACTTTACTGTATATCTTACTTTGGGTGTATAGCATTTTATGTGTAGTACCAAAGATGCGTTGAGTTGGTTTACTGGGGAATGCATCTACTGAAGCTGAAACTACTTGCACTCGTTGTTTTTAAATATTTATGGTGGATTTATTATTCTCTTGGATTCACTCCTCTCTCTCTCTCTCTCTCTCTCTCTCTCGCCCTCCCTCCCTTTCCATCTTTTTCATATATTAGTTTAACAGATGTATTATAAATTTCCCACACTTATGCAATATCTGGTTCAAAATCTATTTTACTTATTTAATGTCACCAGAATTTCTTGTAACACTGTTCTTTCCTCCATGAGGCCTGAGCCTCTCCTGTATGGTAAACAACAAAAGTGAGAAGATTCACCTTTTCCATTAGTTTTGAATTTGGTGGGATTCATCTCATGCTATCAACTCACTGAAAGTTTTATGTAGCAACGCAATAGATGATATCACCCTTATAGTTGCTAATTTGGTGTTACACATGATTTAAGTGCAGGAGTTTCATCGTCTCCGTTCCAGCCTTAGAGCTAAGCAAGAACACGCTTCACTCCTTGAGGATTTTAGGGAATTTGATCGAGGTAGATTAGACTTGGAAGATGGTGTGGGTACCACAGAGCAAGCTCTTCTTAGAGAGCATGCATCCATTAACCGAAGTACAGGACAGGTATGATGTACAAAAATGCCTCCCTTGTTGTGGTACATCAGGTATTTATTTGAGTTCTCCAATTCTGTTGAATGCTAACACAATAAATATCAGATTGAGGACATGTTAAACTATTACATGGATATCAAGAATAAAATTCAAAAGCAATGTGAGGTGCCTGACTCTTGCACCTTTTAAAATTCAAAAGTTGGATCCTGCATTGCAGACATCCGTTCACCCATGAGTGGGACTTATCTTTTGATGGTAGTACTGCAGATTAGTCTGCGACACCCTTGGTTCTTTTGTGAGCATCCAACAGTGTGTCTCATCTGGTGATATATTTTGGCTTTAACTCTCTTGAAGACCACAAACTTATGCATAAATTTCACTTGCAACACTATGATTTGGGTTTATTTTCTTATTTGTTCTGTCCATGTTGATATGCATATGGCTGTGCAATGAAGAGAGAAAGAGAATTTCAGGTGATATATATGCAGTGCTTTATGTGTAAGTTCAAGGAAAGCTACAACTCTGCATGTGTTGTGTTGGTGTTGTCTAACCAATGTAAACTGATAAGTTTGTTGGATAATGTGAGAAGATAGTTTATTCCTTAATTTTTTTTAGCAGCAGTCTGTTTGAGATTTTTTTTTGTTTTTGGGGTGGTGATTTCGAAATAGTCGCTTTCCCTCTCATTTGAAGTTCCTAGTGCAGCTCTCTTGTTGAGGCTCGTTTGTTCTTCATTGATTGTTGTGTGGCACGGATTCCACTTAGTGCTCTTGGGGGAAAATTTTTTTGTCTGTTGCTTAGTGTTCATAATAGTGTGCTATGTCTGTGCACCACATTGTGTCATGTGTCAATGTAGCATTTTGGTATAGAAAAAGATAATGATGGAACTGTAACTGGTTACCAGCCATTATTTTTCTTGGGATAATTCCTTGTTGTAATTATTGCTCAATAACACATGCTGGCCATTCTGTCTAATTTCTGAGCTGTAATGATATAGATGATTTATACTTATGGCTGCTGCAGATGGATAATGTGATTTCACAAGCTCAAGCAACTCTTGGTGTGCTTGTCCTTCAACGTTCAACTTTTGGGGGAATCAATTCAAAGCTCAGCAATGTTAGCAGCCGCCTTCCAACGGTATTGTATCTTTGCTTCTGTACTAAATGTTTTAAATGTTTCTCCATTGCTGAAGTGTTGATTAGATATCATGCTTGAGGATCGGTGTGCAAGGGTTGACGCTGCCTCCACAAATTAATGACTAACTTTAAGGCCATGTTTGGTATAAATGAATTCCATAAAATTATGGAATTCTTTCATAATTTCATGTTTTCATGTTTGATATAAATGAAAATGTTCATACTCCAACCTAAATTTATGAAATTTTACATAGCTAAATCAAAGTCTACCATTTACATTCAAGTCTATTTTCTGTTTTTGGTTGAGTTATTGAACAAAAGAGATGGGGTTACTTTATGCACTTCTTGATGTTCTGTTTTGACATAATGCTCCAGGTAAACCAGATTCTCTCTGCAATAAAGAGGAAAAAGTCAATGGATACGATAATACTTTCCCTGGTTGCATCGGTTTGCACTTTTCTTATCTTTATTTATTGGCTGACAAAGTAAAGAATATCATGTTGGGTGTTCCTGGAAAGCGCCTGGGTGAAAGAAACAACCTTGTCCTCAACTCTTTGATGCTCTTGGCTTGATTAAAGAAGGCTGTGGTTTTTGTCGAGTCTAAGATGACATAACTAGCAGATAATACATTGTATTTTCATCTCCATAGCAGTGATGATATTTCTTGTAAAGGTCAATACAAAATTTGTTTAGACAAGGTTAATATGAGGCTAAAAGCTGAGACATCAACAGCGATCGCTCTTGGACAATTTTTATGTCCTTGGATTAACCAGGGTTATAAAATAAGCTTGTGATTTGGAAAAGTGTATATCATTCAAATTTGTGTCATTGGTTTGGTTATTAAATTTGTTTAATGGGTTTCAATTATTAAATCTCGCCAAAAAAAAAAAAAAGGCCATTTCTTTTGCTAATTAACCTACAGATTGTTAAGTTGCATTTTAGCAATTAGTTTATGGGAAAGCTACAAATACTTGATATTCAAGTCTATTTTCTGTTTTTAGTTGAGTTGGGTCAACTGGGTCCTGCTCCTATATGAAGCTTTTTATAGTGATTGAAAGCACCAATCAAACTCCAAAAATCAACCACACGAATTGAAAGCAGCCTCACACATGGCACTCCTAGAAAATAAGACATTCCTTCTTCAAATTGCGAGAAGTGACCTATCACATGTTCGTAGGATTTTAAACATAGAAACATGGACGGAAAGTGATTGGTCCCCATGTTAGGTTAAGGTAAGGAAAGGACTCTGATTGAAAGCAATCATAGAGTAACTTGAGTTCTGAGATAATGCCTATTATTACGCATAGGAAGATGGGAAATTCCAAATTCTACGGTTAGGACATCTTTCATAAATTAGCAGGATCTATTCTAATTCTCTATTGTGGCTGTTAAACTAATAATTTAAGATTTATGAAATGTGAATTAAATGGACTTCGTGAAATACATGGAATGTAAATGCATGGATTGCAAGGTGGGATTTCTCTCTTCCAAAATAATGGAATTGAGTTTATATGATTAAATTCATTAATTTCATAGGTTTGGACTTTTTTCTTCACGACTAGACAAAGAAATTTAAAAATTTATGAAATGTTTAAATTCCACTAATCCAAAAGGGATAGTATTATTATTAGTATCTCATTGTAATTCATGCTTAGAAAAGGTTAAATGACCTCAAAATAAAAATTGGAAATGTTTGAAAACTTTGTAATAACACCATTTTTGTTTACTAAAGCTTCTATTAGATAACCACAAGCAATAAAAACTTAACCAAAAAAAGAAAAAAAAAAAGTGAAATTCCACAATAGTTAAATTTGGAGATCCACATCAACAAGACATTAACCCAAATTATTGGCCTTTTGAGCAACTCCATGTGTCTTTTTATGAGTTATGATTCCACCACCAAAAAGAGAAAGGGAAAGAGAATATGAAATATTGAAGTGGGAGAGAAGTTGTCATCTTCAAGTAGCAATCGATAGCCTTTGATATTTAAAATGTGAGTTTGATAGTGATGGAAAAGTTGATGACTTTCTCTTCAAATTACTTCCAAAACATTATATATATATATATAAGATAAGAGAGACAGAGAAATCTACTAAGAGATCTTTGGGTCCAATTTTGATTAGACAAAGCAAGCCAAACCCAACCCTAAGAAATTATATTTGTTTTTTAATTGCAATCGACAAGGTTAATGAAATCAAAAGCAAGTGCACTCATACCCATTTCTTATTATACCTTTCTTTTCCTTATTACATCCATCAATTCCTTTTCTTGTTTGCTTAGCCATTATCAATGTTAAATCATCATTTATCTTCTCAATTATGGGTTTTACAACTTACGATAAACTACTAACGTTTGTCTAACAAATATTAATAGGTAGCTTAGACGTATAAAATTCTTAGTACATCCAATAATTTTTGTCTTTTAGTTCTTTAAAAATAATTTAGAAATTTTTTGATTGTTTTTGTTAATATAGTATATAGTTTTATTTTTTTATTATTTTGGTATCAATTTGGGCATATATGAATTTAGTCAGACGATATAAATACATATTGGATAATTTTGTTTTAAACATTTAAATTCATATAGCTTATAGTATTTATTGCAAATGACTTGATGATTTTTATAGGTCTTGAACTCATAATACCTAAAATCACTTCAATATTCCTAGGTCGAAACTGATTGATTCCTTTTTCTTTCTAGTTCAATATGAATATATGTCAAACTTATCCAAAAGGGCAAGTCATCATTTCAATTGACACTTACAATACAAATGGTAATTATTAAAAATAATTATGATTCACAAATATTTATACATAGGACAGCACTATGGGGGGCACATTAAGGGGGCTCTCTCTCAAATCAAACTTGTCCATCCATTTGTCTGCCACTTGTCATTGTCCCACCAATTTCTCCACCACAAAACGACAGAACCATATCTTATGTGGACATGTGGGAATGTCCTATTGGGTTGTCCTAGCATAGGACTCATTTTGTGCACATGGGGGTTTCCATCTGGGCTCATTGCCCTATAATGTGTGTCCTAATCCATCCATGGGAAAGGAAAGGAAGGGTGTGTTTGAAGATGGGGATTGTACTTCTTCACCTTTCTATTTTATTTCCCAACAAAAACAAAGAAGATGCGGTTTCTATTCATCCCTATTGGAATATTGGAATGACAAGGGACTTCTACTTTGTGGGCTCAAAACTAGACAAGGTTGGTGAGCCTAACACTTGAACATTGTTCCTTTTCTTTGGTTGGAGAAAAGAGAAGTAGAAAGGAATTAAAGCCTAAAATTTCTCCATTTGCATTCTTTTGTTTATTTCTTTTTTGTTTTTCATGGAAGAAGAGAAATTAATTTATTAGAGAAAATATAATTTACTTTTCTTTAAGTTCTATCTACACATTGATTAAGGCGGATTAAAGTTCATTAAAATCGAAAAACCTGACTAAGTCAAATTGATTTGATTTAGTTCATCTTTTACATAATTGGTTTATTTTGATTTTTAGTGTAAGAAATCAAAGCAATTTTTTAAGTTCAAAAAATAAGCTTAAATCTATCAAAAATAGCTAAAACTACTTAATAAATATTTTTATATTTATTGACCCCTTTATATATTGATCCCAAGATTTTATTTTTAATCTGTTGCTGACTCAAATCCTAAAATTTTATTTTCTAAAAAAAGTTTAACATATAAATAAATAAACAAAAGAGAAAAAAAATACCTTGTTACATCAATCTTATATTAAGAATAAATAAAAAAAAAGGAATGTTAGACCTAATTAAAATTTCCACTATACTCATAATGATAATCATGTTTCAAAGAGGGGTTGGTTGATTCTTAAGCTTTTGTCAACTACTAAACAATAATTCTCTCTTTAGTACTCTTTTAACAAATTTCTTCTTCCAATACAAGAAATGAGTTCCATGAAATGAAAGTTGAACCTGTACTTATCAAGTTCAAGTGTTCAACCTTGGTAATTTAACACCATTCAACAATTGTAGGCTCAAAAGCAAAAAAGAAAGCATCATATGCACTTTTCATGTACATAAAAAGAGACTTAGAAAAAAACGAAAAAGAACAACTTGCTTCATGTTGTAATGAGTATCTAGAAGTATAATTACCAATTGAAAACTAATTAATGTTGCGTAATATTCACAAATCAAATATTTGAAGATTGATTACAAATTATTATATGATTTCCAAGTCATTATCAACATTTCGGTGTTATATATAATTATACATATATGAGTAGTAGTATTATGTTCTTGAACTCTAATGACTCTATATAATTAATGATATAAACTAACACAACAAGTTAATGACTTATATCATCTTTTTCTTTGACTATATATGAATTCTTTTATTGGTGATTGCAAGGATTCTATTATACATATGTTACCAACATAATTAGGTTTGGTTTGTGAAAAAAGTATTTATGAGGAGGCAAAATTATGAATCTCGATATAAAATATGACCACAGTTATAAATTACCGATTTTGATTTTAAAACTGTTGATTTCGATTATAAACACAGTGAAATCTATATAGAACGCTTTTAGGCGGTTTTTAAGATTGTTTTAGCATCGTTGGTTTCAATTTCACTTCAATTTGAAATCAAAATTAGATAATTTATTAATAATACTATTTAATTTTTTTTATAATTTTATAGCTTGAATAAATAATAACAATAAATATTACTACTAAAAATACTAAACCATTTTGATAAAAAAATTTAAAATTTATTGTAAAAAATTAGGTTCATCGAAAATATTTTTTTTACCGTCTCAATCGGAACTCTCGGTTTTAAACCAAAACCGTCGAATCCAGTTTAAAAAATAAAGAATCAGGACTAAACCTTAACATATACTCTCTTTTACGGTTTGAAATCGAAAACCGTTGACCACAGCTTGATGGTGGTTTTGACCAGTTTAATTTTAGTTCAATTTCAATTTACAGTCGAGCCATTGTCATGTATAGCTGAAATGAAATTAATCTTGTACTAAAAACACAAGTAAGATACTCGTTAACAAATCCATAAATTGGATCAATATAGAATGAATTTCTGCAGGATTTATTATTTATTTTGATTTAATGAGGATGAAAGGGATTACTCAGGAAGGAGTTAGAGTATATGAAGGTATGAATCTTAATATTTTGCTTTTTCATATGGACAACAGAAAGTGCCTGAATGCATGCTGCTTTAATTAATTAACTCTTTCTAATGTTCCCACCAAATGTCATATCATTCATAAATATGCCTTTTTTTCAAATTTTTTCAAAATAATTAGAAAGGATTTTGTGCTTCCCTTGTCATTGCCAATTAAGTTTTTTTCTTTTAAGGAAAAAAATTCTTATTAAACTATATATATATATATATATATACACACATTGGATTTTTATTTTAACAGAATAAAAATTGCCAGCGCTCAGTTCTCCATTTTTTACATTGAAAAACTAAAAGAACACAAATTAAATGACACTTTTGGATGAAAATACAATAAATGTATTAATATGTCTCTTTTTGTATATATTATTAAAAATTTTTCTAACAATAAATAAATGTTTTGAAAAAAAATAGAAAAATTATTTAGACTGTGTTCCGCAGTAACTTTTTTAGTATAAGTGTTTTGACTAATCAAAATGCTAAACTCTATTTTTATATATGATTTGATAATATAGCATTTGAACTAAACTTTTAGAGGTTAATATAATGTGATATAAAAAATTAATCCTTATAACGTTTAACTTTTCGTCAAATGTTAAAACTACTGACTGCACAAACAGGTAAATGTTATAAAAATAACTAATAGCTAATTTTTTAAACAGCGAAATAATATCAAGCATGCATCATTTTAAGGATTG